CTAAAGAGAAAGGAGAAACAGAATGAAACATTAATTTTGTATCAACAATCAAGAAGAAAAAAGTTAATCAAACAAATTATTCTAACCAGTAAACATGTAAATGCTTTTCCAATTAATAACATTTGCATGTTAATTCAATAAAAAAATAACAGCCTTAAAAGTGGCATATTCATGTAGAAACTGGGACTGGAATAATGTTGATTCATGTTAATTCCAGGTTGAATTGTTCAGTTTGGTTTTCCAATGATTATTTCATTGTTCTAGGCAAATGTGTTCCTAAAATGTCAAACGTAAACGTTGAGTTTCAATTGATGTTGATTACGTGATAACCATTGTAGTTGAGTACAACATTTGTTTTCAAGTTTTAACCATTTTAACCATCCAGTGTAGGTAAACAGACAATTTTTCAAGCCAATTGTGAATTCAATTTGTTAACTTGGGTTAAATTAAATTCCACTTTCATTTTGGCTTGCTCTCTCTCCTAATTGTTACGATTGTAGGACCAGAGTAAAAACAAAACAACAGCCAGTTTTAATGTTAAAATCGCTTTTATAATCATTTTAATTTTCCTCTTTTCCTCCTTTTGTTAACTTGCTACTTTGCAGGCTCGGTTTGTATATTTTAAAATGGTTACACAGATTATTGTCCACACTTTCCCATAGGAGTTTGTTACTTGATCCAAGAGGAAGTTAATCAAAGTTTCTAAGGTTTCTCAAATGCATTTTGACCGGAAGTTAACTTGTGAGTTTCCTGTTGTTCCTTTTCAGACTTTTATTCGAACCTGACAGTTTACTGTTGATTTACATTGAAAGAAAGCCATTTTTTAGTAGTCATCTTTGTCTTCTCTCTGTTTCTCATCATTATCACATTAGCTTTTGTAACTCGACTTTACTTTTCCTATTCTGGTTAGCTTTCAATCGTTATTCCCAGGCGTTGTCTTTACCATCAATTTAAGTCTTTCACAAAGAAGCTTCACTAATCTACATGGATTAGGATTAGCAGGGTTGACAGGGAATGTCTAAAAGAAAGGTAAGGAGAGAAAGAAAAAGATAATTTGAGAAATCTTTTAGATTTAGATAATCTTTGAAATTCATTTGAAGAGAGGAAAAAAACTTACTTTTGTCCTTGCTTTCCAAGGTAACAAGTGAAAGTTATTTTTATGAAGCTGTTTGAGGAGCAACATTAATCATTGAAAAATGCTTTGCTTTGTCAAGACAAAATCTTAACAATCAACTTTTTGGATTATGCTTTGAAATTAAATTGAATCAGTCCATTAATCATAATATTCATTTTTCCTGGTCTGTCTTGTGTTGTGATGTTGCCTTGCTTTGTCAAAAATAAAAAATAACAAAGATAATAAACAATTTTGATGGTGTTGATGATGATTTTCATGGTGAGTTATGTTGACTTAAGTTTGACTCCATGTGATCACTTTGCTTTAAAAAAATAATCAAAACAGAGGCAAGTTGAAAGACTAGTTCAGCACTGAGTTTAGTGAAGTGTTTGGATGAAATCAGAATAAACAATTAACAGCTTTGAATGACACCAGATAATTAGTTAATTATTACAAAAAATGGCTACGCCATTAGTAACCAATAATGCAAAGAGCGCGTAAACATTAGACAAGAAAGAAGGGGTTGAGGGATTGTCTTATAATTTAAACATTTCTATTAATTTGTTGGAAAACTGATGTTGTCATTTGAACTTCACACTGAATCAAGTTCTGGTTTTGGTTCATTGAAAAATTATTCCGAAATTTACGACTCCATTAATGTTCAATCTAAAATGACTTCCATAACGGTTGTAGATGATAATTGTATGATAAAAACGATAAAAAAACGAAATAATGTTATCGATAACCAGAAATACAGAATTTTGTAACTTAATAAAGCGAAATTAAGGGATAAAATTAATCAAATGGTTGTAATAAGAGGAGATGAAATTGTTGAAAACATGATATGCAACAGGGAATAGATTTTTCAATAAAAATGAAAGCCTTTTGTTTCTTTATTTTCCAGGTTGGACTGAAAGATTAAAGATAATTATCAAGATATTTTGCTATCCGATATCTTTACCAGATTTTATTTGTTTTTTAGCAAAATGTAACAAATCTTCATTAAATGGATTAGTTATGTTAATTTTTAACTAATATACCTGTGAATTTATTTTTAGAATCAATTTTAATCTATTTTTTAATAATATCTTTCCTAGACTATTCCCTGTTGAAAGTGTGCTTCAAATATTCCAGTTATTCCAGCTAAATAAATAAATACCTTACGGTTATGTTTTAATGTTTGTCTTGAAACATCATTTTACTTTTCCTTGTTACCAGTTTTACCTTTTTTTACATTCTTTTACCATTTTGTTTTTATTTGCAAGTAAATGTTTGTCAATTGTTTCAATCTATCCTTTGGAGTAAATAAAAAAAGTAGATCAACTTTATTCCTGTTTGCAAATCAACATTGAATTCCAATCATTATTATAATGTCATCAAATTTGAGCTTCATTGAACAAAACAAGTGTATCAAATCAATGCAAATCAATATCTTGAAATATCCAACCTTAACTTGATCCCATGTGCTGAACCAATTGATAATCTCGACTCATCTTCATTGTGAATCACTATTGTTAATCATCATCATCATTTTTCATCTGCTTCCAATTTCATCTTATTCTCAATGGTTTATGTTGATCATCTCATTCCTTTTTTTATGCACGTCTTTCAATGTGTTGTCATTTTCACCATTTCACCATCTTCTGGTATATTCATGGATCGATCAATGTTAACCGGAAATTATTTGAATCACTGAGTTGACTGAACTTTCTCCTAGAAAAAAAAGAAAGAGAAAGGAGAGAAAAAGTTCTAAAAAATTCAAGTTTATGAAAAAAAGATCTGATGAAAATGAATGAGATTGAAAAGTGGATGAAAAGATCAAAGCTTAATATGGTTCATTTTGTTGCATCTTTACATCAATACACTGTCATTGTCATTTTTGCTGATTGAAGCTCAAGCTAAATGGTTTATCATAGTCAAGATTGTGGACCAAAAATCTTGAAGGAGAACCCAAAAGACACCAATTTTTTGGTTAAATTGCAAACTAAAGGCTTTTTAAATGGCTCCTTAAAATGAGATTAAATTTTCTCATTTTTTTTCTCCTGATTTGTTTCAACTAATTCAATGGAAATGGAAAGTGTTTACAAGCTGATTAATCAATATTCATTAATTGAACTTGGCTTAACAAATAAACAGTTTAATGGCGATGTAAAGGCAAAGCAATGGATAAAGAAAGGGCAAAAAAGCATATTATTTTGGTATAAAGAGTCAAGTTGAATGGGAAGAAGAAGTAAGATGAAGATCAACTTGGCGATGATGTGGATCTTTTCACTTTCATCTCTCCCTGATGAAACTGTTTGAATGTTTATTGTTGATTGTTGACTGAATGAAAAAAAATAAAGGATAAATGGAGTTTGCAGATAAAGTAAACATTGAGTAAATAGTAATGAACAGTTGGACCTGAGAATGGTAATGAATGGTAATCAGTTGTTAGCTTTTGGGTTCACATCAAGTACTACAGCTACTGTAGCACTTAGATGATAGGGAAGAAGAAGAGGAATAAGATGAAAAACAAAATAAAATAAGATGAGGATAAGAAGATGAAGAAAGGTTGTATTTATATGAACAAGTAAAAACAAAATGACTTGAATTTAGATGAAACTCCATGTCAAAATTGTCCTTTATAATTTGTCATTTTGCATACTAAAGCCTAACGTACCTGTTGCTATAACATGGACTATCTACTGATTATCGGCACATTAATTCATTTTTACTTTCACTGATTCCTTGGACTAACCTTTACATCAAGCTTACCATCTAATTGCATGTTTATCATCAACAAATTTCATCCAAAAGATGATGAAGGAATCATTTCCATCTTATATTTATCTTTATGTTTTCATCCAAGGCTTCATCTTAACGGCTTTAATATACAAACATATACATTTACCTAAAAGCTATTCATCACTCATCAATGTACCATCAACACTTTCATCTTAAAAGCTATACTAAAAGATGGCTAACAAGAGGAAGATGAAAAAAGGATGAAAAAAAAGGAACCAAAAAAAGGCTAAAAACAAAAACCTTTTCAGTTACATCGAAGTTGAAAAGACCTTAAAAAGACCTTCAATAAAGCCATGTTTCTCAACTGAATCAGGGTAAAGTTGAGTATCAATTTTTCAAATTTCAATTCCAATGTAAGATTAGGGTCATTAACTTATATTGTTGCTACATCATCATCATTATCATCACCATGATAACATCTTCTTTGATCATCTTTATCTCAACTAAATTGAGCATAAAAACAGGATTGTTACCTCCTAATGAATAAACATTTCATTCCGAGTTAATCTCTTCCTTCTCTGAACACTTCCCACCTAATCAGGGCTATTATCATTATGAATATATCATGGGCATGAAAAAAGGTTTAGAATGAAAAATATTTCCCTTTTTTTCTGCTCATTTGGCAATCTTTTAATTTCAATATACATTTAGTAAACCTTTGTCAACCATTGAGATTGCCATTGAAGGTAAACTTGAAATTCAAAGATTCATTTTCATCATTTTATTGCTTTCGATTTTTTCCACTCTTATTTCCTTTTTTTCATGATAAATATTATCGCTTTTTTGCCAATATAAATGAAATTCAATCAATTTGTAACTTTTTTCATTCAGCTTCAAATATGTTTTCATTCCTTCACTGAATCTAGTTTTTTGCTTCAAAATGTAACAAAAATAATCAAACCTTTCAACTCTTTCTCCTTCCTCTTGATTTCCATCTTTTACCATCTTCATGTCAATTTCCTAGTTGATAATAATTTTATAAAAGTTAAAGGCTGAAATAATTGAAAATTAAAATTAAGAAATTTTTTAATTTTAATCGAGATTCAAATTGAGCGCAATTTTGAGAAAAGGCGCTCAAATTTGTTACATTTTTTGTATCTGCTGACTTTTTCGTTTGGTAAAGTGTCTTCAATTAGATTTGCTTGTAAATCACTTTTGTTCAAATTTTTGAATACAGTTTTTGATTCCACAATGTTTACAGTAATTTAATTGTATATTTTAAGCTTCTCAATCTTTGCCTGGTGCTTCTTAATTTAATTAACTTTCAATTTTTTCAGTTTTTATCATGTTAATCAGAACCTATTTTTTGCTTTCCTTCACTTAAACCGCTTCAATCAGTACATGCTGGTTAACAAGGGAAGACCTTATGTTAAAAACATTAACAATCTTCTTAACAACCCAACTAAATGGTTATTTATGCTCAGTCACTTCTCTTGATATCTTCTCTCATCATCTTATTGATCAGAAAATCTGAATCTTTCATTATTTTTATTATTATTACCATCATCCTTCTCGTCATCCTTTTGATCAACATCATACAGTTACCATGGATAACAAGGAAGAATGAAACATTTTCCCTTAAAAACATCAACTTAATTTCATTGTTTTCTTCAATGTTCAACATTTGACAATCTTCCCTGTGTTATTCATCATGAAAAATACTTTATCTTGTCCTTTGGTTTTATTTCTCATCATTTTCTCATCATTATTACCATCTACATCATCTGGCAATCCTCTTTGACACTCATTCATTTCAAGTCCAATTTGTATGCTTAACAAGCTCAACCAAATAAAAATAAAAACCCAATAATAAGATGGACCAGATGAAAAGGAGGAAGGTAAAGAGATGTTTACAAAACTTGGATAACGCATTTTGTCCAATCTATTGTTGACCTAGCAAGATCTTTCTCCATTTCATCACCATTATCATTCATTTCTCCTGAGTATTTCTGTTAAGTTCCTGATAGGTCTTTTCGGATGATTTGATTCACATAATGATCTATTTTTCCATTTACTTTCTCAGAATCATTTTTACTTCTCATCTTCTTCCTTCCACCGTCATCTTCACATGAAAAGTAAGAGAAACAAGAGTCAAGTCTTACATTTCCTTTTCTCCACTTTCAATGAGATCCAGAAAGACTGAGAAGGTTATTTCATCCAACAAATATCATTCAACCTATTCAATTATGAAGTATAAATTCAATCAGAACAGTTGTGAAACAAAATCTGATTTACACTCAAGACAATTATAATAATTTTTCATTCTCTTTATCTTTACAGTTAAACCAATTGTCCGTAATAATTAGATGAACATAAAACATTGGATACACCAAGGGAATACAATCAAGAAACTCAACATTGAATAAGTCGAATCGTCCTCCACTCTTGATTTACATCCACATATTGATCAATTGGAAAGTTAACATTGTAATAACTGTGTGGTTACAACTTGTATGGGTTGAAGGTGAAACAAGTCTCGGGTTTCAATCTCTTGATGAGAGTTGAAAATTCATTTGATAACCCACACAGAGACAAGAAGCAATTTAATTTAGTGTTTTGTTTTTTTTCTGCTGATTCCATGTGATTTAGCCCAACTCCTACCAGTTTTTGTACAATTTTTACGCTTACCAAGCAAATTGGAAACAAAATAATAGATTTATGTTTTTATTGAAAACCTTTGAGATGAAAATAGGCAAAAATGATTGAAGGTTCAACGCCATGAAAAAGCCAAAATTTACATGCTTAATTGTGCTCACAATTAACACTGACAATTGGCAAAAATTTTATTTACCTTTTCACACAATTAGTTTATACAATTGCCATTCAATTGAGCCAACAAACATGAAAAAAAGGTGAAGATATTTTCCGTTTCTTTATTTGGAAACCAAAATTAACCAAAAGAGGTAACAATCTATTGAATTGGATTTAAATTGTTCAACAATTGGCTTGATTATGTGAAGATGTTTACCTTGATTGTTGTTATTTTACAACATGTAAATTCACACAAGAAAGAGGTGCATAAATGAGTTGAAAATGAAAATTAATTGCAAAATTGCCTTTGATTGTTTCGCCAAGTTCAAGTTTCTTGATTTTTACATCTTTAAAGTGCTTTTTTTAACTTTTTTTTGCCTCAATTCTGCATCACTGATCTAAAACAATCAAATAATGGTTATTACTGCGAAAGGAGAAACCATAATTAACTTGACTAAATTGTGAGAACCAAATGATTACAAAACAAACAAAGATGTTGATCAAATGTTGCCATTAACAATATGTCACAATGTCAAAGACTCTGAGACAATGTTAATTGAGTTAAAGTGAAACCTTTAATTGTAAATAATTATTCATATTAATATGTTGTGCGAGAGATTTTTTTGAATGTGAAATTTATCCTTCATGGGAAGTTGAATCCATTTTTACAATTTTCAACTCCATAAAGCGTTGAATGATGAAAGTGAAGTTGAAATTGTTAAAGGTTCAATTTCAATGACAATTGATGGATTCAGTTTTTACACCAAATGGGAACCATTTCCATTGATGGTGATAATGATGAGGCTGGTGCTGGTGATGATCGATTAACCTGGCGCTTGGATGATTATCCAATTTTGTGAATATTGAGGTGTAAAAAGGATTAAAACCTTTCTTTGCCTGTTGACAGTTTATTCATTTAGATTCCGTAAGTTTGATGATGCGAAACAAGCTATCATCATCATCATCACCATCAACTCTTTTTATTTTAATGGTTGATTTGTGGTAATTTACATGGTAAATCAGTCAAGCTTAAACATTTAACATGAGTTCAATCGGTAAATTTTGCCAATCAAAGTATCATCATAACAGCATATTTCACACAGAAACAGATTAACAAATAATGTTTCTTCCTTTATTCATAGGAAAAAGATAATTCTTTTTCCATCCTTCATTCTGATTAACTAATATAACTTGCAATTGTTTTCTAATCAATAATGTATTCAAATTTCCTGGATTTTTCCGAAAACAAATGTTCTTTCGCCGGATAATTCGTGTTCTTTAAACCCTTGAACTGATACGAATGGAAACGGAAATTACATTTTATGAAATGGATTTAATTGCCGTAAATTGTCTCAACCAACGAAAGATAAAATGTACTCATCGCAGGTCAACATGTAGACATCTGAAAATAGCCACAGAATTTAGCTTTTCATCTCGAGTTCCTTCCTCTTCCCATTGATCAATCATTAACTTTGAGGAGGAATCACTTATGAACCACTCGACAGATTTTTCGCCAAGTTGCGTGATTGGATCGATATTTCCATTAAATTTATTTCCATCTGAAAAAATTAGAGAAAAAAATTAATGATCGAAGTGTGCCAATTTTTCGACGTTGCCGCTTCACTGAAAAATGATTAAAAATGAAAATTATTAGACCAAAACTTGCAAATTTTCCGTTCATTTCTGGCAAAAAATAAATCTTCAAAAATGGGAATGAAACACACTTCATACATTTACAGTGAAAAAAAACCAAACCAGAATATTGTTTCAAAAAGCTATCAAATTGCGATTGATTTTCATGAAGCTTCATTCATGAAATTTTACCAAACTGACTCTAAACCCAATGTAAATACTGAATTGTGATGAAAGTAAAAAATTTATTCAAACATGCCAATCAGTAAAGCCATAAGTCCACATAAAGTGAACCTTTTTTTCTCACTGTTTGGCCAACAGCGATTCCATTTTTTTCTCTGTTTAATTGTATTTTTGTAATGATCACGATTAACAAGTAATAGCTGTGATAATCAAATTAAACAGTTATTAAATTTGATTGAAACTTTGCTTGTTTTATGCGAGAAGCGCATTTCACTGTACATAACTGTTCTCATCGTGACTGGACATACCTATTTGATTGATGTTTTTTGATGAAACCTTTCACGGGACTCCATAACCATCATCATCATCATCATTCTTTGGGTGCTTTCGCGATACCATTTTACTTCCCCTTGGCAATCAAATTGAACGATAATGATCATCAATATCACGTTGTGATGCTTAAAAATGAGACTCCAAGACCTTCAAGACCTTTGTGCTTAATCTTGTTCCTCAAGCTTTACACTGCCAACATTGCTAATTACATTACCTTTGTTAATTAGTGCACTTTTTGTTTCTGTGAAGGTAAAAAAAATGATGCAAATTACATTACTAAATAGCTCTAAATTAATTCTTTCAAGCTTACCTTTTCTTCATGGTGTGTTAACCTCTCCATCCTTAACCAGTTTGGATTACACTTTGTAAATTCATCATTTTTCACCTTAACTTTAGACAAAATGTTCAACAATAAAGAAGGTCCAGAGTAGAGGAAATTAATTGTCCGGATAAATGGTTAAAGTTAATGTTCAACAATCGATATTAAATTTTTACAACTATGATTGTCTAAATTTGGCTCCATCAATCTTACAGTTAAATAATTCAGAGCAACCTTAACCACTATCATTCAATTGGTATTTTGATAGACTTGTTCATCTTTTAAGAGCAAAAAAAGGTTAACTTATTATTTATTACCATTATTATCATGAAAGGCAGATAAATTCCTGGGCGAAATTAGCTAATTGTGAAACAATTTTCTTCCAAAGAGACTGTAATTGCTATTGTACCGTTTATTTTCATGTAATTTTCTTGCTGTCTTTTCACTCTTTCAACTCTTTTTTCATCATCTTTTTCACGGTTTATGCTTTAAACGGAACTACGATTCTTACTTTCACTAGACTGATGATGATGAACCACTGTACAATCAACCGAGTTTAGATTAATCAGTAATTCAACTTTGAAAATACAATCAACCGTAAACTCTTTTTTTACCTTCTCCTCCTCATCATGTTCAATTAGGTTTCAATGCATTTCGCGGATTCAATTGTTAAATCATTGTCATCCTCATCATTATCTTAAAAAAAAGAGTTATCATTTGGTTGAACATTAAACTTCAATCAACTCGTACTTTCAATTGTTGACCAAAGTGTCCATTTATCATTCGGTAATAATGGATTCAAATGGTTTTGTCCTAACCATTCTCATCATCTTAAACGTCATGACAGTTGAAGGAACAAAAAAAAGTAAAATTGTCAGAAAATTAACCTTCACTGAACAACTTCCCATCCAAGACTTGATAATTCATGAAATATTGATGATGAGTCTGGTTCAAATTGGTCATCAGATTGAATCACTAATAAAACTCATGAGGTTATGATTGAGTTACTTTTGTGTCAATGATTTTCAATTTTGGGTTCACTCGTATTCATCTCAGCTCTATTGAGCTCCAATAATTATCAATATCCTTTTCAAGTGATGGTATCAACAGGACAAAAGGGCGATTCAAGAATGAACTTCAGTGATGAGCAACTTGGAGTTTTAGGGTAAAGTGAATAACCAAGATTCATGTTCAGCCATTAAATGAGTGATTCTGAAAAGATAAAAATGAAACAAAAAATTAAAACCAAATAGATTAGTTTCTTTGGATGATTATCAAGTTGACATAACAATAAGATTATTGGATTACATTGGATTCATAATATGTTTGTATCTTTATTTTTGGCTTCATCTTCATCTTACGCCTTCTCAATCATACTCTGAACCAGACAAGATTCAAGTTCAATGAGACTAACGATAAATAACTGGTTTCAGTTTAAAGTGAAAAATTATCTCAAAAGTGAATGAAACAAAACAAAAGTTTATCTACAAAATTGACTATAATTTACTGTTTATTTCCCATCATTATTGTCTTTACCTTTTAAACTAATAACTGGTTTGGAGGTTTAACTCCCAGTAACTTTGTATTGATTTTGTTGATTTTTTGGTTTCGTTTCGTTTATTGTTATTAACATTTTATATTTTGTTTCCAACAGTTTAATTATTTTTACCTTTTCAATCAACTTGATTATGATTTGACCCAATTATTGTAATAAAATATTAATGAAACAGGAATGCATCTAAAAAGGTATTCAACAAAAGTAACTGAAGGATAAATATTTGATCATCAAGAGTTTTCCTACTATTGTTGAACATTGAATAACTATAAATAAATTGTTAAACAGAAAAATTTGTTCTGTAAAAAAAAGAGTTCTGATTCTTTCTATCGAATCATCATTCTAATGCAATTGGGAATCAAATAATTGACTGATTTATCGGTAGATTTATTGGTTTATCAATTTAACCTTTGGATTTATCAATGAACATTGAAACATTTTAACACTTTTTCTTACCGAAATTGTTAACAATGATAAATTTTTTGTATCAACGTTTATTATACAGGTGCTTAAAAAAGCCTAATGCAGTAAAACGTTTTTATTAAGGCACCCACAGATAAGCTTGATAATGCTTGATTAGGCTTTTTTACTCTAACAAGACATTAAGATCATTTAGCGTGATTTAGCATCATCAAGCTAATTGAAACTATGGTAGATATTTAATATAAAGTCAAACGTGCCGAACCGGTCATTCCTTATCAATCTTTTCACTCATCAACTTAATTCAAAAATTAATTGCCAACATTTTTCAAACTTGTTTCAATTTTAAATTGTTCTAATTTCAAAATGACCATTTTTTGGGCTTTCAATGTTTTTTGTATCAATAAAATCGAGGATCTTAATCGAAGGTATGTTTGAATTTCATTTTTTAAATTATTGTTTTTTTTCATTGATTTTTTCACGTTTTTTACAGCTTTCGAAATCTGAGACTAAAATTTCACCCAGATATGATTCGTGAATCAAAGACCGGCGAATACTCAGAAATAATGACATTTCTATCACAAATAAAAACAACAATCGAAGATTTTGGAATGGATATTCCAATAAATCAAATACCGGTTTATGTGAAATACGGTGGTGAAAAAATTCCTATTCTCATTGAAACAAATGGCTCAAACTTGGAGTTGAAAATAAAAAAAGTAACCAACGTTCCACAAAAGGAAATAATCAGGCCAACCGGTTTCGAACCTTGGATGGTTATTCCAGTGGTCAATGCTAAAGTGACTACGGATATGGTTTCTATTAAAAACGTTTATTTACCGGTTTTAGCATCATTAGGTTCAAAAATTATTGCAAATTTGATCAATGAATTCATCGTCGGAGGTAAAGCAAATTTTAAACCATTAATTCGTGGTAATGGCGAGGCTTCATTGAAATTCAAAGGGCATCCAGACTTGGTTGTGAAAACCGGTCTTAACATAAGTCCACGAGACTTAACTTTTAACCGTTTTTGCTGCCTCCTCGGTGAATTCAATCGCACAAATTACAATAACTTAACACACAAAATACCTGGATTAACCAGATACATCAAGATATCAACCGATATCCCAACGTTCTTTCTACTATTTTTACACCATGGAGTCTATTTTTCATGGAATTTTAATCTTTCATCTGAGCATGAAAAATATATAAACCGGTATATATATTTGTCAGTTAAAACGCTTGACATGATTTTCGTCAATTTAAAAAAAATTAAAAACGGCGAGAAACTTTTCGAGTCCGTCTATGAACTACTCAATTCAAACCGTGAGCAACTGACATGGACTCATGATTTTAAAAAATTCATTGGCAACAAACGTTTGGAGCGTTTCGAAGCCGAAAATAACGATTTCATTACTAAATACGCTCCAAAAATCAAATTTAACCGGCTTTCTTCTGCTTTTTAGATTCTTTTTTCTTGATCAATAACTTAATATCGCTAATATCGTTTTTCAAATTTAATAAACGCTTTTTGATTCGAAAAATCTGTCTCATTATTAATCTTTTTATCGGTTTTATAAAGCTCTAGAAGTGTATGGTTAATGTTGACTCAATTTACGAGCAAGAAACGCGCTTATAATCGCTGTACTAAAATGTCAAGGAACATGGTAATTGTAAAACTAAATTGTCAATCATGTTTTAAACTGTTAGGACTGAAAGTGTTTCAACTTGATTTTTCATTAGTTACCTGAAATTTAAAGTTATCAGAAAGTGAAAGCATCAAATGAACGGAAAGATTATTTCTCTGGTTGAATCAATGATTTAAGTGTTGAATGGTTGGCTAACTTCGAGTCTGTTTAATTGCTCGCCAGTTTAATTGCAACTCCAATTGTACTTCACAGTCAAGGTAACAACAACTAGGAACCATTTGTGATTGTAACCTGCCAAAAAAGAAGTAAAATAACAAGTGAAACGAGGACCAAAAATGAGGACATGAAAATAACAAGAGACATTGTTGGTTGTTTTTTTGTTAATGTTTCATTCATTTCAAGTTTAAATTGGTTGAAACATTGATGGTTAAATGATGATGAGTTTAAACATGTAATTTCAACTTGTCATCAACATCATCAGGAACATCATCAAAAACAGAAGCAGAGACGCAAACAACAATTAGAATCATTGTGACAATCAAAATTTTGTTCACTTTTCAATCAATTGAGAAATGGATTGTGAAAAAAGGCTTTGTAAATGACTTATTCACTAGACCTTCAGTTCAAATCTGATCAATTGTTTAATCATTTTCAGTAAGTTCATCATTTAAATAATGGAAATCTTAAAAATCCTGAAAACTATTGTGATTTCAAGTTAAATTGATGATTTTTTAAAAGAAAAGTCTAATTCATTTTGATCAACTTTCAAAGTTAACTGCATCGATTATTTTGTCAACTTTTTTTATTCATCCATTGTCTTCATCTTCAATCTTCTTACTGTGTTTTCTTAGGAAACTAAAATTATATACTTTCAAGTCTATCTGAATTCAACTGAACTGTAGATACACATTTCAAACTTATTTGCTTTTCAAGTTAAAGAGTTGAATGGTGAAATGGTCTTTTCTTGCTTTATATTGACCATTTTTTCAATTCCTTTGTAACGATTTTTTGGTACAAACTGGTTAAACTGAAGAGGTTCAACTCAAATTATCAACCAGTATAACTTGAAGCATTTTGAACCCCTTTTGTTTGGTCAAACTTTACTGATTTATTAACTGTTTATGATCTTTAGATTTGACATTTATCCTTTGAGTTATTGACCATTTATTAATGAATTAATTGTGAATAATTGATGCTGCTAAATTTGGTTCACCTGTGAGTCTCGACTGAGGAAAGTATAAATAACACAAACAGAATGGTTGTTGACTTTTGAAGCTATTAGATGATTATGGGTTAACCGATAGGCCAACTTGGGATTTACCTTTTGTCCGTCTTTTTCACATTGACATTGGTAACATGATTAAAATCAGTCAATGATTGATTGTTATTGTTTCATGTTATGATTAAAAATGTTTAGTAAAATATGGCTGACATTTACGGATTGATTACAAAAAAAAACAATTTGTTTACTGTTGATCGATTATTAAGGATCGATCAAGTTTTTTAGATACATTTTGAGATACAACATCGGATAATTGCAATTTAAATATTTGCAAAAATGAGACATTTGTATCGATAAAGATTGAAGAAAATGACTATTTTTCCAAATTGAGAAGATCATAAAAGACCTTTTCAGGTAAAATAGACAATTCAAGTGATTTGATGTATAATTTAACCTGAAGCTCTTGACATAGAGAAAATTTTCCTTTGATTTACAGTCTTTTGACAAAAAATGGTTAGTCAACTCATAAGATGGTTGGAGCATTGCACGAAAAGGTTTACAGTAAAACAAAAACAGTATCAACTCAATTAATTAAGGTAAATCGATACTTTTTTTCGTATCACTTTTTAACATCATTACCTTACCTTACATGTTGAATATTATGATGTAGATGTGAAGCCAAAATATTAAGAAACGACAAAGATGTATGATGAAGATCAAAAGGCGAGCCTTGAGCTTGAAAGGGAAGCATAAAAAACCAGCAACAACAAAAAACTGATTTGAGTTTGATGATTTAGCAGTAATTAGAGAGATCAGTAAACCTGGGATGATGAGCACAAAAAAGTTGATGATTACAAGGAAGATGAAAAAGATGATGTTGGTAATGATGAAGATGATCAAAGACGATGAAAGATAATAAAAGATTATGGTTAGAAGGATAAAAAAAGGATAAATAACCTTGAATGGGTAAAGTTGATGAAAGCTAAAGGTTTAAATAATGGTGATTTTTTAGATCCAGATTTAACGATTAATCAATACTGACGAGTAAATTGTTTTCACTGTGATGGAACTAGGTTATTTAACTGTTGATTAAACATATAAAAAGCAAATTGAAATTGATTAAAAATCAAAAATAACTGTTTAACCAGAAATATCATTAACCCATTGACTCATGTTAAGCAACATGGCGTAACCGCCTTCACTAGCCATTGTTGGCGGCAAGAAATTGGAAGAAGCGCCAAAATTAAAAATGTCAACTTGAAGACAAAAAAACGGAGAAAAATAATTTTAATTTAAACATTAACCAAAAAAAGGCTCTTGAAATGATTCAATGATTTAGTTGCGGAAACAATTGTCTTCCTCTCTATTACACTTTAATCTTCATTCATTGGCTTTGTTGTTTCACATTATATCAAGCTTAGCCTCATCATTATCAACATCACTTATCTTCCTCCTCTTCTCATCATCACTACTCTATTTAAGATGATAGTTGATCATCACAAACCATCGATCATTTCAAATTAAGTTCATTTCGTTTTTTTCTTCATCTTCCTTTGCTCAGTTTCGCTCTCTAACCACATTCATCTTTATCCTCCCTCTCTGGATCATCATTATCAACATAATCATCATCATCATCATCTACTCTTCATCATTTTAATCATCAGTATCTACAATAACTTACACATTGGATACACTTTAAGGTTAGTAACTTTTACAATCATTTCAACTTGAACATGTTTGATATCCAAAAAGATTTACTAATCTTTTCAAATGATCTGCCATTTTGGATTTAAATAATGATTCAAATGATGATTTAAAGGATGACTTAGAGCAATGATTTAAGGAATCATTCAAATGATCATTTAATGTAAATTGTCATTTCAATCCCAATGAAATTGTTTGGGAATAATGAAAGTCAAAACAGAGACATTGAGGGCAAAGTAAACCCAATCTGGTTGCTACCAAAAACCAATATTTTACAGTCAAACCAAAACAAATTTACCAAAATGAAATCAGATCAATAATCACTGTTTATATGTTTAGCTTCCAATTATCTTATTGTATTATTGAATCTTGATTTTTTCTGGGTAAATTCATGGTATTCAAGCCTGTTCCATATTCAATCCAATAAACTGATTACATATTTGATGGGCATTAACATAAGGTAAGAATGGGATAAGATTAAGAAGGAAGACAAAATATATTGTTAATCTGATTGTCAGTGTAAAAGTGAAATAACCAGAGAATTGGGTTTTGTTATTATTTTTGTTCAAGTTTTCGCATTATATAACTCAGTCTTTATCTTCTCAGTGATCAGAATCACAGATTGAGAGACATTTTACCAGCCATTTGTACACCTTTTAAGCTACCCTGGAAAACATCTTTTACCTTTGAGGATTGGACATTTCAAAATGGGAATCACGAATTTACTCAACACTCTTGATTCGTCCCCATAACAGTTGCTTTAGCCATTTTGGTTTTTACTTGATCATCTTCTTGATCATCGCCTTTCGTCTAATCAAAATGTAGGATACAACTTGACCAGATGAGAGGACAAAAGTGGATCAAGTCATTTTTCTTGACCATTTCATCTTTAACCATTACCATTGATTAACCATACAATTCATATTTGGCAGGGAAAATCAGTGACAATTTCAATTCTCTCAAATTATCACATTTACTAATAAGCCTTTTATTTAGTTGAATGTGGACAACTTTAAATGACAATTGTTGCCAATTGTTTGCAATTTGGTGTACAAAATGAATCACACAAAATGATTATTTGATCAACATAAACAACACTTTACCCTCCTTCATTCAATATTATTTGACCAAATTTAAGGCATCTCAAGTCTTTGTTTGAACATCAGAAATGATGAGACAATTCAATCAAATCTCAATTGATTACAAATAATATTTTAAGCAAATAACAATCAAACCTTTGATTTACAATCAAAATGGCTCATTTTGATGACAACCTCTCACTATAAACCTCCATGAGATACTTATACCATTAATCTGAAATTAAGTTGCTTTTAAATTGTTGAATAAAGAGATTTTATTATTAAAAGAATGTATCAATTTTTGTGTAAAAATTTTGGTCAAGAAAAGGATTCTAAGGAAAATTTTGCCTGAAAGTCATGATTGAAATACAATGAACTATTGACTTAATATTGAAGAATCAATCGGTTCGTAATCAGTGAACAACCCCTTAAATAATTTGCGGGAAAATGTTGTTTCTCACTTGGCTACTTTTTTATAAACTGTGATACATTTTCCTAATACAATCTATGCTAATTTTAACCATAATATTGTGTTTTTAATCGTATAATACAATCAACTGAACGGAAATAAATTTCAACCTTAACTGTGATCATAAAAAGTGTGAATTTTTGGGCTCTTTATTCAGCAATTCATTCAATTCCATTGGGCCATCATCTAGTAATGTGTTTATAATTAATAAAGGAGGAGACTTGAGGATATCCTGTTATTAATGAGGATCACCAAACAGGCCCAATTGTTGCTGTTTCCGGCTAAACCAATAACTTTATATTATTATCATCATCATTATCATGTTTACCGATATCTTCCAGATAATTACAAACATTGCCATTATTTTTTACCTTTTCTTGTCTCAATCTCTAAACCCATGAAAAAAACGGAAAAAGCAACTTATTCATAATGGTATAACTGATACCTAAATTTTGGTTCTTCTATTAATGAATAATCAACGATCCGTAAAAGCTCGCAATTTATTATTAACTGTCAGGTGAGTTACATCTTTCTTTTTTCCAATTTTATTGCTATCTGTTATTATCTAATATTTATTCACTTGTATCTTTTAACTGTGTAATAATTTAGGTGATTTGCTTATAAACATTGGATCACTTTGTTTGCTCTTTGGATTAACGTGTTATTGAATTGTAATATTTTGTTTGTCTAAAAACATTTTCGGTTCTATTGGATTTACCGCCGAGGTGATGCTGTTAACGAAATTAAGTGATTGATTAGATTAATTCATGATTGTGGCAATATTTTCCAGCTACACATGAGGAGTGAGATGAAAAAATATGATCAGTCTTGTACCGATAATGTTTAATCTGGTTCAACTTTGAATAATTGTATTACAAGAGACTAAAGTTAGACTTGACAGTTAATCAATCATAACTAGCATCTTCACAATTGTCTGTAAATTGTCATTGGAACAGAAAGTATTTCAGACGCTATTCAATCTACTGAGGGAAAATGTTTCCTTCAATATTAAGCGAGTCAACTCGGGAAAAATCCTGTCCAATTGATTAACCTTTTAATATATTCAATTGCGGATGGACTGGTTCTCTTTAACTGCAAAACAAGCTCAACGTGAGTAAAATATTCAGAAAATTTGATAAACATTACTATTAATTTAATTATCAATTCTATTGGTCAATTGACTTGGCTATTAACATTTGAACTCATTTATATCTCATTTTGCATGGAAACAAATCCCAAAATGAGTAAGATAATTAAATTAACGATAATTTCAATGCTGATTTAGCACAATTTAACATGACAATAGTTATACTAATATTTGATTTCTTTTCCTCTTCCAGTTAACATTCTCGATGAAAAGGTTGGTTCTTTCAGGGAAACGATAATTCTTTCTTCCATTTAATCAATTCAGCGATGATTACGATGACGATAGCAATGGTGTTTACAATTATCGTTTTTATAAGAGTTTAAGGTCAAAACGAAAAATGAACTTTCTTCTTTGGTCACGTCCATTGTTACTGGCCATCACTCAACATTATCAAGAAAAAATCAATGACAGATACAAATCAATTTAAATGATCTTTAATTTTGAAAATAGCAAATCTTCCATTGTTGGTGCAATTTATTTTGGTAATTTGGCGTGAAAATTTTTACGTTTTTACATTCGTTACACAATTAAATTAACATATTGTAATTTTAAAGATAGCGTATTGAGTCTACAAATCCAATTGTTTATTGTGGTTATGATTTGCGCTTATTTTAACTCATCTTTTTTCCAGCGTTGTTGGCTGTTGTTTCATCTTAATCACACTAACGAATCGTGCTAATCATAATTAGCATCTTATTCATATTGTGTATTGTTTGGATGTTGAGGTTAACCTAGAATTGCTGAAGCACGAATCCACCCCAAAAAATGAACCTTTAAGATGAAGATCTTGAAGACTGTGAAAAAGTAAAGCAAGATGCTAAATCAACTGACGTTGTATCAAGTTAATTTTGTTCACAATTTACAGAGACAAATTTAAAATCATGTAAAGCATAGTCACATAATTACATGGTAAAAAGATTTGAAAAGAAATGATAAAAGCTTGTATTGTTCATAATTGAGTTGATTTTTCAACAGTAGCTTTCTTCCAGTGTTTTGGGTCAAACTGAACAAAGTGACCATAATTAGGAATTGCAATTGTATGTAATATGTATCGAAAAGTTGATAAAAATTAAACTAAACAAAATCATTTGTTATCACCACTGTAGGAAAGTTATTATTATTGACTACTGTTATTATATTGATCATCATCATGATTGGCTGTGATTATTATTTCAAGATATTTGGAACAGTTGAAATCAAAGTAAGAGAGAGGAAGGTAAAAAATAATCATAATAATGATGATAATGATAATAATACCAAAAAGTAAAGAGAGTAACCTAAACTATCGATAGACCGTGACCTTATTGACCAGTATCTAAGGTGGACTATAAAAATTTTAGACTCTTTTTTTTTATCAGCAACATTTTTGTTTATCAATCATCATTCAATGGCCAATTATTGTTATTACCATTTACTTCAACAGCTACAACAATTTAGCTATCGTCAGTATTTTGGTACCTTTTCTGTTTCCCATCAAACACTGAACAAATATAATATAAATATAACAAATGAGAGAATCAAGATTCTTTTCCTTCCTATTTTGCTCTCTTGTTTAATGGTCAATAGACGTTGTTTATGATGAGGATTCGTTACCAATTTACATTTCACTCTTGTTAATGTCTGTATTTTAGTTGATTGTTTAGACCTCATTGTAAAGGTGATGTAAATGATGATGGTGATGATAACGACTATGATGATGTTAATAATGGAAATGGTGTAGATTATGTGGAGTGACATAAACATGCATTTGTTGTGAGTTGATCACATCATGGATTGAAACGTACTTTATATTATTAATTTCATTCTCCTTAATCCCTTGAAACACTGATTAAAAATTTAGAAACTAATTTTTAAAAGATTGTTGATAAATAATTCAAATTTAGGTGTTGTTTGGATGAAATATTTTTCATTTTCTCCAACAATCAGTCAAAAAAGGTGAAATAATCTTTGTACTCAATCCTTGGTATCGATATTTCGGTAATCTGGTAAAAAGGGTAGATTTTTTGGGTTTGTTTGTTTGGGTATTTTTTTTCATTTTTTTCATACTTTATGATTTACTTTTTTGATTAAAGGTCAGTTATTGGGTGGATTAGATTTATCATCACCCTTGATTGTAATCAGTTTTCACTATTATTATTATTTGTAAGTATCAACAACCTTATTTATCATCACCCAAGGTGATAAACTGTATTAAACGAAAGCTTTTGGACCAAACCTTGATTTCAAATGAATAATTTATATTTACATTTACAAAGTTGTCAAATTGTTTCTCCTAATCATTCCATTATTTCAAATAACAATTATGCTATCATTAAATAAATATTAAATAAATAAACCATTAATAATGATAATAGATTATAATAATAATGAAACTTAATCCAAACTCGTCAATCCTTTTCTTATATTTCTAACCTTCTGTGATACAAACTTCAATTTAAAAATGATCCCTCATCGACACTTGTATTTTTCACCGTAAATCAAGTCTACCAATTTTTTTTATTATTAATGATTGATACAATTGAGATTAATTCTCATCTTACTTTAATTGTGGTTCCTTTATTTTTTTTTGTTTTCTTGTACTTCAACTTAACTTATCTTTACTAGATAGTTTCAAGTGATATCAACAATAACAACAATAATAAAAATAATAATAAGTGTAAGTATAAAGCCTGAAGATAAATTCACAGTCTGATAATTTCACCTTTCTCTTAAAAACCATTTTTCTTCTCCTTCCTCTTGCAAACCTTCTTAACATCCATCTCTTTCTTTGTTTCCCTTCTTCTTCTTACCTTCACTCAGTTTCTCTTCATTCCCCATCTTCTTCTCTTTCATCATCATCTTCTAACCTCTTCACGCAGTGTGGCATCCAACACACATCTACTAACTCTCTTTGTTATAAACTTTCCGTCTCAAGTAATATTAATTTGGTTAAACGTATATTATATCCACAGAGTATGGCAAGGTAAAATTTCCAGTTTTCAGTCAAAGAGTCAAAGATGGTATAAGGTTGTTGTGCTGTTGGACCCAAGATGCTGATGATAAGAGAGAGAGAGAGAGAGAGGAAAACTAGATTGACCCGTGGTTACCATAAGTTGAAAGACGTCTTAAAGACATATGGTCTTTGGTCTTACCTTACATTCAACCTGCCCCGTGCCTGAACCGGAAAAAAGGAGAGAAAAAAGGAAAAGAAGGAGCAAAGAAGTGGAAAGAAAAAGAAGAAACGAGACAAAGGAAAGAGCAAAGGAACCAACATGTGAACAGGAAAAGACTTTTAAACTTCTAAACATATTTTACCCGAAAATCTGTCTCCACATGTCTATGGATATATTTAAATGTACACAAGATCTTTGTAATTTTCCCTTTTTGACACATGCACATTCACTTTGCCCCTTGTGATTCAATCACTTATATCAATTTTGGTATAAACTTTGTTTCTTTTTCCGAATTGCTCTTCATCTTTCCAATTTTTTCCATCATGAATGATGATAATGCGATGTAAATATGAATTGATGATTTTAACTTGAATTAGCTTCGTAACTCTTTTACACTTTAAACTCAATTTTTGTTATAACAATTTTATTAACTCATATCATGTTAGATGTTGATCTCAACTTTGCTTATATTTTCTTACCACTTTCAATACTGTAAAGTATTCTTGAAACGATACCAAGTGTTTCTTGAAATCTTCATCTTCATATTTTACCATTTTCTTATTCATCATCGCTATCATTACCAGTATATTTTATTATTATTTTAATATCAAAATTTTATCTCCTTCATCATATTCAATTCAATTTTATTTTGCTGTTTGAAACATTTTCACACAAACTTACAAAAAAAACCTGATTATCATTGTAGCCAATCGCACTTTACCTGTTCATAAACCACATTTTTTATGTTATTAATATTCAAATATTATATAGTTTGCTCATTTTCATCTCTTATATTTAATTTTTGTTGATCTTTACACTCAAATGAAGGTTATTTTTAGTTTAGATAGTTGATTGATTGGTCTTCATTGTAGGTTTTCATTCATCATTTCCTGTTTTTTTTCGTGGGTTTTACAATAGAACCAACTTCAAATATATTAATAAACACCTTAAATTAAATTAACTTGAATTGTAAGACTGATCAATTGAAAAGTACAATAAATAATGTATTTAAAAATGAGTTTTCATTTATCTATATGATTCTGTTTCATCAATAGATAAAGAATTTCATTTCAATCTTTAATCAAAATGATGATGTGAAAGTTGACTTTTAAAATGCTATTGAATGCAACAATATGATTTTACTATTTAGTTGGGAGAGTGTGCTGTTATTTTGATTATTAGATTACAAGTAACAATTATTTTGTTAACTGTTATGATCTTTGTTGAACCCAATGTTGGGACGAGGATAATGGTAAAGATAATGATAATAAGAGTAATAAATGTAGAAGTTAAATAATGTGAATTATTTAAATGAGTCAGTTCATTTAATCATCCGGTTTATCCTCTTTTGTGATGCTTCATGAGTTATTAACTTAATCTAGATCATCCAATGGTTCCTTGAGACCTTGATCTTGGCTAGGAATGGGAAAACAAGTAACAACCAGAAGCTGCAAGTTGATAAAATGTTTAATAGATTGATTGTTGTTAAATTATGTTGTTATTACTGGTGCCAAAATGTTCATCATCACTGTCACCATCATGATTACCATAATCGCTGTAATTATAGTTACCAATTTAACAGGAATGTGACCATTTTGAATAACATAGTCAGTTAACTATTATTGTTGCCATTTTATATCATTTTCGTACTCCTCACCAGCTTTACCCATCATCATCAGCATCTCCGTTTATTTCTTTTTCTTGTGTTTATATTTAGAAAAAAAAGAGAAGAAAATCTTGAAGGAAAAAAAATCATGAGCCATGACCGAAAACAACATTGTCTCCCAATGATCCACTGCAAGTAGAGAAGAGAAAAAAGATGAGAAGATGGAAGAAAAGAAAGGAAGAGAAGAGAAGTGAAGAGAGACGAGAAAATAAAGAAGAGGATCTTAGCCTACAAATGTAATCTTCAGACAAGGTCTAAACAACCTCTAGGCAAGTTTCTCCCTCTCTTCCACTTTTATCAGTAATTGCTGGGTTTTTTGACGATAGTAAATCGTATTGTAGGACCAAATAAACACAGGCAAATCTTTATTCCAGGCCAACTTGAAAATAATAGATGTATGGGGAGAAATTGCAGTGGAACCATAATTTTTGACCGGATTTCTTGCAGTAAACAACCAACTTCCTAAACAACTATGGACTGTAGTAGTGAACAGCTTTAAGTATTTATGTTTACAGTCCTTTCAGTCTTAATAGTTGAGCTTTTTACACGCGTCTGTGCCATTGATTACAGAGAAGAGTGAATGAAGAAAAGATGGTGTTTTCGGTTCGATCAGGCCTTGAAAGGAGACTTGCTATTAAACTTTACTCTAAATTACTCTTTGAGGTAGAGTTAATCTTTTATGGATAATTTCAGGCAATCGATAAAACTAGTATGTTCATTGGTTTGGCAACTTTTCCCTGTTTGCCTGGAGGAAGAAAGTTTGGTCGGAAATTTGTCAGTGAATACCAGAAAAACACCCAAATTTCTTATTTTAAAGAAAGATCACTTCATGTGTATCTTGATATCCATTTGATTATTTTTCTGTTGACACGTTAAGGTGAGAAGATGATCTTGCTGCAATTGATAACCTGCCAGAGGACTTTTTGGCACCTTCATCCATTCATTGAAAGCCATGCTACCGGAACCAAAACGGAATCATTCCCTTAAAACCCATCATCAACTGTCAATCAGTGTGAATGTTAACACACCACCCAACAGGTTTGAAATTACTTGGAATGTGTCGTAAGAGAAAAGGTAATATTTAGATGTAAAGTAAATGTCATTGTGGGAATAGTTTCAGCAAAATAGTTTTGTAGTCAAAGCTAGTTGGAGCAAAAAAGGACAGAAAAAAACGGATTCATATAAGGTAGCTGCTTCTTCTTGATTACTTGTGTATGTCCATTTGAGACAAGAATTAGATCAGACAGAAAAAAATGTCCAATTGTTGACTTGTCTTTCATTTGAATCCATGCAAACGATGACAGAAAAAGACTGCAACTTGATCTTTAAATTTAACAAAACATGATTGTCCAATGTATACTTGGATGAACAAGTGTATATACCATGAGTTTCAATCATTATATCCTTTCCATCTAATTTCAATTTATAAACAGCATAATAATACCGCAATGTTTGCGAAAACATGAATCCTGTGAAAATGGAGTAAGAATAAAATTAATATTTACATTAATAATAAAATGTATAATTAACGTTCTAATTGCTTTCTAATTGTTGTTTACCTGTTCAATCCTTTTCTTTATTTCATTAAACTCTTTTAAACCAATAGCAGTGAACGGTAAACTTTACATTTGACTTTCTTAAATAATTATTCTCCAATTTTCCAAGTCTTTTGATAACAATTATGAGCCAACAACTTCATTTGAAAGGATAGATGCAAGTATTCCTGTAGCTGTTGAACAAAAAAAGAAAACGGAATTAAACAGAAATTCAAGTGAAACAGGTAAACTGGCTGGCTTTTAGAAGCGCAAAAGTTGCATTAGACAGTTAAATTTACAGATACACACCTTTTAACTGCTTTAATAACCATCAGATTCCTTAGACAAATCTTTTGTTTAACTTACACCTTGATTGTCATCACATTCATCATCAGTCAAAATCTCAATAAACGTGATGGTTGGTGAAAAATGATGAAAGATTTGTTCATGTAAGCTTCTTTCCAATCCAAAGAAATATACACATTTCCTTCATTGTCTCTTCAACTGGTTCCTTTTATTTAGCGATGACTACAGGCTTTTCATCTCATTCCTTTTTTGTCTTAACCACCATTATTAACCATTATCTGGATTCCATATTGTCCGACTTTTTATTTTACATTTATTTGTCTCTTAATGATGACCTCCTTTTTTCACCACCACTCATTTTAATATATTAATATAAAAAATTGGCCTGACTCGGAACAAAAGGAAACAATTCTTTATAACTTAAAGAAAAGAAACAAACTGTTTGTCTTGAATGCTTTTCTTTTTTCTTGATTCTTTTCTTTTTTTTCTATCACCTCATAATCATCATCACCAGCACCAGCACTATCACTATCAACAGCAGTATCATCATCATCAGATTTGTCGTTGTCCTCCTCAGTATCATAATCATAAGTCTTCTGTTACTTTGACCAGATCTCCATCTCATGTCCTTTTCACCATTTTTTCCTGTTCAATCTTAACTAATGATCACTGTAGCAGTTAACCATATCCTTATTATTTCTTCAAGCCAAGACATTTTTGTCTGCCAAGACAAGAACAAACAGCAAAATAAAACGCATATTGTCAGGTAGAAAACATGAGATATAATCAATTAAATTGCATAAAGATGTTGGGTGGATAACTTACCTTACAATTTGATGATATTCATGCTGATCATTGAGTTTATAAAAGCTTTTGTCTCGCTTTGTCAATTTAATATTACCCTCATAAATCCAAGAATTGTAATACGAATAATGGAACCAACACAAAAAAAAGAGAACTTGAATTGAATGTTTACACGAAATAATTAATGTTGGTCAGTTCATTTCAAAAGTAACTTTAAATCGTAAGATTTCTAAACACAAAAGCAAAGATAAACTCTCACTGCTAAGATAATATTTCAAAATAATTAGATCAGTTAAAGTTTCGATCATAACATTTACTAATTAAGCTCCAAATCTTGAGTTTCAAGAGAAGAATAAGGTAAAACAAAGAAACTAAAGTCAAACAAAGGCATAATCCAAGAAACATTGGATAGTCATTTGGATAATGGTGTAACAAAAGAAAATATTTCAACCTTTTGACTCATGAATGTCGGTTAAACCAATGATTCAAATTGAATAAACAAACACCGTATTGATGAGACATTTCGGTTAATCTTTCTTTTGTTATAAAAGCTTATCTCTTTTCCTTTCTTTTGATACATTATTCTGTCCTTTTAGCAATATCTTCTGCATGTTAATTTAGTGACCTTTGCAAAGATTAAAATACCTTTCTCTCTTGACACTTGACACTTTGTGCAACCAGTGGTTCTGTCGGTTTATGAGTAATTTTCATCTTTTTATGGGCAAAATTGATTATGGAAAGTACCAATAACTTCCTAAAAATCACCATTTCTTGAACGATTTGCAGTCTCTTTTCGGAATGATTTACCAAGTTTAATGGACAAATTAACACCAAATTAGACAGTGAAAGCAAGAAAGAAGAAATAAGAGAATCGTTATAACTGTGAAATTAAATCGGATGCGACAGTTAAAAGAGGAATATCAAATGTAAGTATGGGATAGGATCAGCTGAAATGGAAAGCAAAGGATGACCAAGATTTCTTATAATCAATAACAAGAGGATGTTTATTTGTGAATTTTTATATGTTAGACAATTGAAGTTGAGAGTCAATTGTGATCAGGTAAGCTACACTCATTTTAACTATTTGCTTCTAGAGCTGAAATAAGCAATTTACCAGAGAAAAATGGATTTTAATTCATTTTTACTTTTGAAAACCTTAATGCATTTCTTTGTTTCTTGCTTTTTACCTTATTTAATTGAATCTGATTTTTTGTTTTTTCTCTCCCCTATTTCAATGTTTGCAATTTTTCTTCTCCTACACTAGCTTTCATGGAGAACTGAATAACCTAAGAATCTTTGGAGTCAACAAAATACCAACTATTTAGCTTCAATAAATGTATATATGAAGCCACATTCCAGATTTTCCTTGTGCATGGTGTAGATCGGATTACATTAAACCGTTTGTTAGTGGAGAAAAGTGTTTCCCATCTTATTTCAGTCTTTATTTCAAAGAAGATGATAAAGAAGAGAAACAGTCAAGACAAGCAAGAAAAGGAATGGATGAAGGTAAGGTAACTCAAGATGAATGAATCACTAATGCAAATGGATTAGAATTGTCATAGGTTTGAAAGAAAAGTCAACTCAATTTCTCATGCATGTGATTTGTCTTACAGGCATAGATGAAGATACAGAAGGAAAGGAAGCCGGTCAAGAAGATCAGACGAAAGACGATAAAAGAATGGTTATGATGAAGATTACGGCGATGGTTTACAGGTGATGGAAATGGATTGATTGTAATGAAAAATGAACAAATCCAATCAGCTTTATACAAACCATTAGGTTAATTTGTTGATGATAATTGGTCAGAACTGTTCTTTGTTGGGTTTCCTTTGGCTCAATTGAGATTACTATTGATTAATCATTTAACTCAATTTGGGAACATTTACATGGAGAAAGAACAAAGAAGAAGGTATGTTTTTTCAAGTAATTTTATTTTCGTGTGTATTTACTTTAAGAGTTTGTTGAAAAAAAAGAGTTTCATTCTTAAAGTTGAAATATTCAGACGATATAATGAATGTTTCTGCTTTTCAATTTCTCCCTCGATGAATAAACCCTCTGATAATCGTCTCTTTTGATTTCTCATTGAATAATTTGTTTAGATATTTCATTTACCTTTAAAAGGTTTGCTCTGATAATCTATTCCTTAACTCACATAAGGCTGAAATTTTCTTGAGTAATCATTTCCAACAATGTCTATCCATTCACTATTGATTAGACTGTTAGCTTTTTCATAAACATTCATCTTGTTCGTCTGATACTTTTCATCAACCCTGAATCAGATATGTGACTGGTAAATGATAAATAAATTTCTGGTGCATTGAGAAGCAACCAAATTGAAATTGCATTGAAATTGTTAAAAAATTGGAAAACATGCCGATTGATTGTTACAGTTTATGTTTCTTATTATCAATTGTTTTGGGATCAATCTTTACAATTTGACTGTAACTACAAACTGCTTTTCAAAATGCACAGAGAAATAAAAATGAACCAGAACTTGCTACGTCTGGCAATGATTGAACCAATGGCATATTTATTCTGTTCATTGCGATAGAGATTTTGTTTCTTTTCTGATCATTAACAATTTGAGGCAACTATTTTTCAAATCAACTAATTTATGATTAATGCTATTTACTATGCCAACTTTCAACCTTTCCCGAATAAAAGTTTATGAAGAAAAGAAACAGAGAAACTCTTTTATCATCATAAATTAATTTGATTTTTTTTTCTTTTCACTTCTTTTCTGTATTATTTTGCTTTTCTGTCAACATTCACAACATTTTACTTGATGATTTTTCTTTCATTTTTGCAGGAAACTCGGAATATTTCAATTTAGTTAATGAACATGAATTCAAATAGGAAAAATGGTCTAAACCTGTCATCATGATGAACTTCAAATATGAAAAATTACCAAGACTGGAGTCAGTTTGCATTGGCTATACTGGATGAGAAGACGATAAAAGTAAGGAGCCGAGGGAAGCTTAAAGGAGGCAGAAGACAGACAGAAGAGGCAAAAAGCATCAGAAGATGAAGAAGAAGAAGCAAAAAGAAGCTGAAAGAAGAAAAATAACTCAAGAAGGAAAAATTCCTTAACCTTTCTAACAAAAAGATCAACAGCAAGTGACAAAAATAATAATAATCATAAATCTGCAAAATTGAGTAACAGAAAGAAAATAAAAATCAACAACAGCCAAAAGTAAATTGTTAACCTTGATTGTGGACAATTGGTATTCATGGTAAGCACATTTAATTCAGTTTCAACCCTCACAAAGTGACCATAACAAGTTTGAGAAGAAGAAGAGAAAGGAAAGTTGAAAGGGGAAAGAAAGGCTGATGATGGTCAAGAGAAAGTAACATATGAGAATTATTCATTGTATCCCATCCATAAACATTATTATTCAAGTTGAACCAATTTTCTCATCTAATTTATTTTTTCCCTCATCTTTTGTGACCAGATATTTAGACTGGTCGAAAGCCTGTGTTAGGTCGATTCTTTGACCCTCTTTTTCCAGGACAACTACATAACTGTATAACTGTCAAATAACAAGACCACTAAATATTTTGAAAGGAGAGAGGCAAAAGGTTGAAAAAAAAGGACAAGAGTCAAAAAGGCAATGCCAATGGGAGTGGATATTTTTGCAATGTATACAACAACAATCAAAGGAATCTCGAAAAAAACAAATTACCAGAAAATGAGACGAATGGATGACAAATATGGCTTGGACCTACTTGAATGATTATTTTTGGTTCAAAGATTGCCTTCTACATGATAAACACAGCAATCCTTCAGGTTGAAGATCATGTTTTTACCATTGGTATTCACCTTTATTCACATGTAATGAGCATGAAAAATTACAGCAATGGAAACCGGTAAACCAAAACAGATTCCATAAAAAAAAGCAACAGTCTATTCAGGATGACTATCCATTTTTTTTCTTCATCTCACTCTCAACTGTCCTGCATTGGGCCTGATACAAAATATGTGAATGATTACCGATTCATCTCTTATTTTCCTGATATTTCCCATTCAACATATCACCTTCACTTAAGTCATAACTTGACGTCAACAAAACAAAAATGTTAACCATTGCATTACATGATACCTGTACAATGTTCAACATTATGATATAGAAACTTACTAAACTATTTCCTGTCTCATATATTAAAACAGGTTATTACATTTCAAATAACGTTTTTTGTGTAATTTATTTTCCAATTTATTCACTCTTTTGCTCTCCTTTTTTTAACCGTTACAGTTTCCATTGGAAAAAGCAAGGTAACACAGCTGACAGAAATGGATTGCCGGTTAGAGTCACTGGAGAGACCAATAATAAGGATTAAAGCATAATCTGGTTGAAAAATTGCATTATCTGCATTTTTATTTTCATCTTCATGGTCACGATGAAACTGGAATTAAATGGTTTAACAAATCAGCTAAACTCTTGACCTACGTTGGGCTACCTGTTTGACCTTAATCATGGTTCCATTAATAGTTAACCTTCTTCCTTCTCATCATTACCAGCATTACCATCATCATTCATAATGCCATTTCACTAAATACTCTTCATACTCTTTCCTCCGATCGGATAAAAAATGTAAGAAATGAGCTTCAAAAATCAACTTGTGAAATTGAAAACCCAAAAAGGGCTCTTTTTCAATCAATCCTGACCCCACCTTTTAATGTACTTCACACTTGAAATTAAGATTTGAACAAAATCTTGATCTGGTTTCAGCCAAAAATCAACTTATAATTTTCTTATCTCTCTCTCTTCAGGTTCTTTTGACCTTAACTGAACAGTCCATAAATCGTTATTGTATCTTGAAAAGTAAAACATTTCCATAGCAACTTTGGGTGTGTAACGGGTGCTTAACATACTTGGCTAATTTTTGTAGACCTGGAAAAAAGATGAAGAGATTAAATTATCACTTTCAGTCTGTTTGCTCAAATTTGGACCTACTATTTATCTCAGCGAAAAATCGTTTCACTCTAAAATACACCTTTAACTATTCACCTTTCAGTTGGCCAGTCCTACAACTAAATGCAGTAACACAAAGTGTATCTTTATACAAATGATATACAAATTGTTTTATTTTTTTTTCTTCTTCACACCAATTTGATAATTCGCACTCATCATTTTGCGAAACCGTATGTGGTATGTTGTTTGTTTTCTTGGCTTCAAATGCAAACAAGAAGTTGATGATACATGATGGAAACTGAGGTCATAAAGAGAAGAGGAAAGATTATTCTGGCGATGATGAAAAGAGGAGCAGATGAAAAGGGAAAAGGTTAACCAATCAAGTTTTTTGTTCAATCTTTTCTTTTCCTGTTGTTGTTCATTTCAAAGAGATGTTTTTCAAGAGTCAAAGAAACCTGAAATCAAGAATTGAATTGAAAAAGGTTCAAATTGAAGAGCCTAAACTAAGATACAGATGAATCACATGAATTAACTATAATACTGGCTTAGGATAATTGCTGTGAGTATCAAACAGTTTTCTTGCTGTTTTAATTTTTACGCAGTTCATCAAATTTTGCCCTTTACTTCATTCATTGAATATTATTACCTTTTTTTGTTCACCAGATTCAAAACCAATCTAACAGCTTGGACAAAGTATCGATTGTTAATTGGCTTCCCTTTTTTGCAATATTAAGTGTTTTCATTTTTTGATTGCTGTTCACTTGAATTTTATTAAAAGCCAAGCCTTGGGTTTGCCTCACTTCATCAGCATTGTTACCTTGATCGCCACTCATTTTACCTTATTAATAATGGTAATAACCTGATCCAGTCAATCTAAAACTTTACCAATAACTATTAAACTTTAATCAGTGTCATTTAATTTTCTCCTTTTTCCATCTCTTTTTGATTCCAGGTAATTTGGAGTGTTATTCAATCATTAAAAGCAGCTTTTGTCTTTTCTGTTCATCAAAATATCTGTAAAACCCTTTTTTGGCTTTTAACGATTTATAATGTTTGATCATTCAAATCATTATTATCAAAGGAAACAATCAAACTCACAGTATTATATAATCTATTATAATGATTCTTAAACGCTATTATCGTAATTTGGATTGGCAAAAGTAAATCTTATTGTCTACTGATTGTATTCCAGCTCCAAGAATCATCAGCATCTAGTTTTTTGCTCCTGTTCATCATTCATTTGAATATTGGTGACTTTTTTGTCTCCATTCAAATCAAATTTTCATTTCAATTGGGACCATTAATTCAAACAGTTTATTCAAAATGCAAGCCAAATCAAATGAAACCAAATGCTTCTTGCTGCTAGTTTTTCAGTTAACCTGGCTTAACGTTAATTTTACCTTTTTATTACTATTATTAGTAGACGAAAATAATAATCGTATAAAATGATATAAAAAAACAAAGTGTAATCAAACAGACTTCATACTTAATCCATCTTAATATATCTTTCAATGATCTGAATCCAATCACAATTAAAGCGCAGCAAACTAAATGTAAGATCAAATCTAAACCTTTCCCAGTGATTTGTATTAACTGATGATTCCCATCTTTATTGATCTTGAATAATGGATCATTTTTTGCTGCTTTTTTTCACAATCAAGCTTCAACCTTAATCACAATCACCAGCAACAACAATGAAACAACGGTGAAGCAAAAAAACCTTGTTATCCTTTTTTAGTCAACTGGTTAGTTGAGTAACCAAACCTAATTTCAAAAGAAACTGTTAATGAATTATTTTAGCTGGCAAGTTGCACCAATTAAACACAAATTAACAAAAACAAGACACTTAGATGTTACTCTGATGACAATCAACTCACAAATCAATTAAATATTAAATCACCAATTTCAATCTGTAATTCAAGCTTAAGCAATCTTCTTGATTACAAACAAAGTTGAAGAATCCATTTAAATATTAATGAAACAATAGAAGTGATGAAGCAAACAAAGACAAATCCAAATGTAACCATCAATTTTAATTGCTAATCCAATTGCAATATTAGATGACAACAAAAAAACTGGTAACTTGAGAAATATTGAAGCAAATCAAGTGACTGTAAACATAAACATAAGATCACCAGAAAAGCGTAAGTGAAAAATGGAAAAGCGCCATTTACAAAAATTTAACAAAAGCAGTAAAAAAATTAAAATTAATTTGAAAATTTCCACCAACGTCTTTCAGGTAAATAAAAAAGGTGTATTGTTCATAGCAATCGATCAGAAAATTAAGCAAAAATTGAACTCCATTGATTTGTAATTTGAAAGATTAGCCTTGTTTCATTATAATCGAAGCGTACTTCACTTTTCCAAATGTTGGCTTAATGCTTAACAGCTTATAATTTTGCAGCCCAACCCTTGATTATTGGGCGTAAATCATTACAATTAATCGTCAAGAGAAGAAGATGAAGAAGATGATGGAGAAGATGGGAAGATGGAAAGAAAAGATGAAGGTAATGATGATGAAAATGGTGTACAACTGCATGTATTTACCGGTTATTTATGCTCTGACAAGTCACAAGCCCTTTAAGGTAATCAACAAATATGGGCCTCAAGGAAGACGCCAGATATTTTGAGGATTGTCTTTCTTTATCATCATCATCATCGCCATCATCATCTATGATTTTAAAGCCTCGGGTAATCAGTATCAAGAGCAACAACTTGAACAGCTAACGACTAACCAAGACTTTCATCTGGGATCGTCTCAATACAATATTTACTACTTTCCTTTTTATCTTCCTTTTCATCCTTTTTCATATTCATATCTTCAACATCATCTCCATCATCTCCATCATCTCCATCATCTCCATCATCTCCATCATCTCCATCATCTCTATCATCGCACTGACATATCTTCCTCCACTGGACATATTGTTTTACATGTAATACATTTAGCTTCTCCTTTCCTTTGTTTCATTTCAATGCTTTTAACCACATTTACCAATTGTTTCATGATATCACCATCAAACTCATCAGACTCATCATCAAATGTTAATACTTCATGCTTAAGATAATTACATGGAGACAAAGATAGCTTCAAAGGCTACATGACTGTCAACCCAAAACCCAAAAAGCCTCTAGTCATTGATGAATGTTAATATTCACAAATAAGATGCTCCAATTGAAGGAAAGATGCTGATGAATTTTGTTTTGATTGTTAACATATTAATGTTTACCTTTGAGCCATGATATTTAATGTGAAAACAAAAAGGTAAACATCTCAAGGTACATTTGAGTATCTTGTTTAGGGTAATACAAGCTGATCAGGAAGTAAATTGTGAGATTGACTTATTAAAAGCTAATTATTAATTGCTACCATCACAAGCTTTCTCTAGTTAAATTACAAGGTTTGTTGTTTTGTGGTTAACTGTTTCCCATTAATTGTAAATTAATATAAAAACAACCATTAAAACATCCTAAATTACTTCTCACTACCTTTTTTAATAACTCAATAACTCGTAACATTTTTGCATTTTTGTACATTTCCTATGAACCAACCATTAAAGGTAAATCTCCATTAAAAGCATTGTTGACTTGAACCAACATCCAAAAGTCTATGATTAACAAATGATTGTAATGAACATGTTTCAATGTTCAATGAAAAATGAATGGAAACTTGAAATTTTGCTTGTTTTTTGCCTTCCATTTTCAATAATCTGTCAGCAAAAATTACAATTTTAAACATGACGATGAAAGATGATGAATGTCATCAGTAAACATCATGTTATCATCTTGTCATCATCATGTTATACCAGTTAAATTACATGTTATTTTAGCTTTTCATTTATTCACAATCAACAGCAACAATATCATTATTAAGTGTAAAGATGTAAATTATTGATACACTTTTGTTCAGCCAATTGTATTCCAATGGTAATACATTTAATTATCGATCCAGTAAATTAGGTAAACATTGAATTATCTTGTTCATTGGGATTCTGTCCTTTAACCAATAAATATATTAGATTGAGGGATTGATCGAGTTGCTTGCGGCCACAAAAATGATAACCAATTATCCGTCATTGGAAAGATGTGAAAAGATGAACCAATTGCATGTTAAATGTTCAGTTCAGTCTTTATCTTTACCATGAAAGGTAAGAAAGAAGAAGAAAAATTGTACAAAAAAATTGAGTTTTTATAACAATTTGGGTTTGAAATAAACAAGGAAAAAATGATGAGAAACAAAATGGGCAAAAATAATACAAATTTACAATTGTTTTTCATCAAATTTCATCTTTTATTTTGCTTCTTTTTACCGTTTCTCACTTCAAACTTGAAACTTCATCCTCTTGACCTGAGGATATAAACAATGAAACAATTGGACTTCAAACATTTTCAGACAAAACCATTACACCTAACCTGATAATCATTTAGTGTTGACGGCAACAAATGAAAAGCAAAACAATGTATTGATAGGGAATTGAAGGGAAAGGAAACAATCGACAATTAATCAACAATAAGGTGAACATAATTAATGGTGAAAATTCCTGTAACACTGATTCATTTGATTTTCCAGAAATTCTTGATTCGGTAAAGCAAAACTCACTCTTTAGGCCCTTTGATGTTGATAGCAATTTGGATTATCTTGACTAACCATTTATTTTGCCTTTAATTTCATTTTAGAATCAATTCTAATGTCAATTGGAAAAAATTGTCTGATTTTAACCAAGAATCAAGTCTCAATTTCAGACATGAAAAAAGGTTGAGATTTATTTTCGGTTGTCATTCAAAGGAAACCTTGTTGACAGTTTTTGAGTTACAATCTCTTGTTCGGCACAATTTTCAATGAAATCATAAACCTAAGAAGCTTAGTCAAGTCCCAAAACCCAATTTTCCGGCCACTTTCAATGAACCTGGCCATTAGCCGCTCCTTAACAATCGATCCTCAGCTTTTCACTAATGCTAGTATTGAGCCTACACTTACCTACTTCCATTGAAAAATACATTCAACTTTAAAATTTGAAAATTTCAAGTTTAGGTCAAGCCTATGGGTAAGTTTGACCGCAGTTTTAAACCGTTTCACTTTAACCTGTTTCAACCCAAAAAAAGAAGATTGACTTTAATGATGATAATAACCATGGTGAGGCTGAATCAAGATGAGATTGTAATATTAAACATCATCATTATATTTTTCATCTTTCACATCCATATGTATGAGGTTTGAGTAACAATCTTTTGCCCATTTCCATGTTTTTCTGGTTGGTGTTCATCTTCATTGAATCAGCTTTGCTTTTGTTTGGCCTTAGGTCAACATGAAAATTGATTGTTCAAGGCGTTAATTCATCCTCATGGTTGGAAATGAATTAAACTTGTATCCCTTCAGTTCAGGTCTACATCATTATTTGTATATTATTAATATAATCATTAGAGTCATTTCACTTGATCATCTTCACTTGCTTTACAATAGAGATGAACAAAAGTGTTTCTCAGTTTCTTTTATTCCTTGTTTTATTATTAATTCAAGTCAATTTAACCCTTAAAATGATGCCAAGGCACATGGTTAACCATTAAGGTTATTGTTTGGTTAAGGTAAACCAAAGACGACACTGTAATAATGATCAACACCTTAAACCAACTATTATTTTTGATTAAACGGTGAAATTGCCTCTTCCAAGGCAAATCTTGTGATTAACATTGTCCTCTTGTATTGTAATGATCAATCATACGGTCAACTTGATGATTAACATGATGATTAATGCGATGATTCATATGATTGTTTGGGTAACCAAATCTTTTGATTTTAAGTTATGGGAATGGCTTTCAATAAGATGAACCTTTGACTTGTTTTCATAAATAATAATGTAACCAGATTTTGTTTAGCTGTTGGTTGATCATTTTTGTTTGTTGGTTAAAGTTAATTAGACAAATAGTGTTAGATTAATTGTTAACAGATCAACATTTACATGATGAATAATGATTAATATGTATCATGTAAGACCATCATCATTGGATATTTACATTATAACGTTTTTTATATCCACAAAAAAATAAAGGTTGGTTCAGTTTATCTCGTATTTGTATCAAAAAATTGTGAATCCTAATCTGTTTCTATTCTTGGTTATGAGTTTAATTTAACTTAACTTACCTTTTTTTTCATTTCCTTTTATTTTCTTACCTTTTCTGTCTGTCTCTGTCTACTTTCATTTTTTCCTCTATCATTAAGAAACATACGTATCTGTTTTAAAAAGGGCTCCTTGTGGGCCGAATAACCGGTTTACTTGGTTGCCATACCTGAAACGGCAATCAATTGAAGAAACAGTCGACAAGCCTTACTTATTTTTCACATTTTCTTACATTTCTTTGCTTCTTTTCATCTTCTTTTCATCTTCTTCACCGCTTTTTCAAATCTTACAATATGGAGGGCTCTTTGTGTGTTGGTTTGTACTGAAAAACAAAACCAGTTTGCCTGGTCGCTTTACCTGAGACACGACCCAAGTTTAAGCAAAAAAAACCAAACCTACTTTTTTCATCTTTTTTTCATCTTCTTTCTACATTCTGTTTATTAGTTACATTCTGTTAAGGTGGGTCTGGCCCTTGGTTGTTCGCTTTGTTGCACGAACTACAATAGTGTATGGTTGCTGATATTATGTTTCTAATAGAGGTTTACATATTTAGTGTGGAGAGGGAAAGGGAAATAAGTTCTTGATTGATATACTGATGAGTTATTTCCTTTTGAAAGCAAATATTGTGTGAAAAAATTAATAAAAAGAGGGAAGGGGTTTTAAAGAGTTCTTGAGATGTTTTCCCGTTGTTGAGGGGGATGGTTGTTTTTTATACCTTGGAGAGTGATGAACATTTTCCTAACTAGATTTGAGACATCAGGTTTATGGAGTTTCGTTATCATCCATGAATAGTCTCCAGGTGTGGTATAAATACATGAGAGGGTATACTTCTCATTCAAGAAATTTGGACAATATTGTACAATGTGTTGAGGTATTGCTGATCCAGTTCCACATGAGCAGATGGTTCTGGAGTCATATTTATAGTCATATGTCCCTACTAAAAATTTGAGTTTCCAATCCAGTTTTTCAGTCTTTTTGAAGTGTTTGGAAGGCCATATTTTTGTTATCCTGTTTTTGAGTTTCTTGTTGATCCTTTTAGACATAAAGGTATGAACTATCCTGTTGGTCATTCCATGGATTCCATGCCAAACTGAGTCGGATGTTACCGTCGGTCCAAGATCTTTGTCTATGTTAATCAGTCTTTGATAGAAGGCAGGTATATTTCCGGTCTCTACAAGCTCAGTTAATCCCTTATTGATACTTATTTCCAGTAGTTTAGATATAAGACATCCATTGTTGGTTAGAAAACCCAAGAGCTCTCTATTTCTTGTGAATTGCGTTCCATTGATACTTCTAAGTAGAAGTCCATACAGTTGCTCATACTTCTTGCATAACCTGTCATTCTTTATCATGTCATCCACGATCAAAGGAGCAAGTCTGAGAAAGTGTGAGTTATTGTATGCATTTAAAATGAGATTTTGCGTTTTAACAGGCATTAGCTTGATGATATTTTTCTTTTTGAATAAATAGCTAATTTTGTTTCTCAGCAAATCATAGAGTTCGTCATAGTTGACTAATCTTTGATCAATCTTAATTGGTACACCAAGCAATTTAGTGCTCGTTGATTGTGGAATCATTGGTTCTTGTGTGTTGATAGCTCGAAGAATCGCTTTAGATTTAGCTGGTAGAACATTCAGTTGATAATCATTAATAATTTGTTTCATCTCAGTGAATCTTCCATTAATTCCTTGCGTCACTTTAGATGTCTGTATTTTGATGATGTTAACGATATCATCAGCAAAGGCTAATGTTCTTACGGTGTTATTGGCACGATAGTCTGCTGGTTTGAAGTTGAATATTCCAGTTCCAATGGTTTGAAGTTCATCGAGAGTTTTTTGGAAACCATAGGCGTATAGTACCGGTCCAAGAGCAGAACCTTCCGGTACTCCTCCAATATTAAATCTCCACTTAATCAATAAGTCATCAATTAAACCTACTTTGCGATCCGACAAGAAGGATATAATCAGGTATAAAACGGGTGTTGGACAGTTGAATGACGATAGTGCATTTATGATATGATTATGTTTTATTTTTGCGAAAGCCGATTCAATATCAGCGATGATGAGTTGATGATTGTAGGTTTGTGTTGATCTAACAGATAGAAATTGATCTTTAATTTCTAATAGTAGTCCAACTGTGTCCTTCTTATCTTGATAAGCGAATTGATTTCTAAAGAAGTTTGAAGGTGTTAACATCTTCAGTTTATCGAGGATGATTATCTCCAATAATTTAGACATTATCGTTTGAATTTGAATTGTCCTGGCTCTCACTCCATCAGACTTGGGTATTATCGTCGCTCTTGTAAGTTTCCACGCTGTTGGAAAGAATCCCATGTTCAATACTTTAACATAAAGTTTAAATACAGCATTTTCTTTAGATTCCAGGAGTGAATTGAATGCTGATACATCCATGTAGTCAATTCCATAGGCAGCTTTCTTGTCTAGTTTTTTAACCGCTTTATAAAACTCTTCTCGAGACAATGTTATACTCATTTGTGGTGTTGATGAGCTAATTGTCATGATTTGATTAAGATTTTCAACATCTGTTTCATTATCAAACTCTTTGAGAGTTAACAGTTTATTATTGGTGAACCCATCAGTAACTGGGGTCTTTTCAACTAGAAGAGATTTGAGTTTCCTCCAGATACCAGCGTCATCACTCTGATAGTAATCATCATGAATAGTTGCATTAAATGTCTTAATTTGTTTTTTGAAGATCTCAATTATATCTTTTCTTGCTTTCCAGTTTCCAGCTTTACTTTTATTCATCAATTTTTTGAGTAGTTTGGTGATCGGAGGTTTCTTTGGTTTGGGGTGGTTAATTTTCCTTGTTGTGAGAGATTCTTCTCTTGTCTTGATTGTTGATTTCAGATAATTTGTTATTATTTGGTCTAACTCAGTTTTACTATCAAGTTCATCCAAGACATCCTCATCCGGGAAATTTTGAACTATTCCTCCAACGAAGAGCTTTCGATCTAAGATCTTTTTGAACACAATGTTCTGTGAACTTTCAGCTATTCTATCCGATCCAATGTTTACTTTAATAGATAACAATTTATGATCTCGTTCATCGAGGATAAAGCTAGTTTCATAATCAGATGTTTCAATCTTTGAATTGCCAAAGATGGCATCTATCCAAGAGTAAGAGTTATTACCCTTGAATGTAAAATTATCCTCCGTAGGCTTAAAGGAACACTTGAGTCCATAGTTAGCTAGCTGTTCAACAATGAAGTTAGTCGTGTTTTGACAGAAGTTTCTAGGTTCAAAGGACCATTCAGCATTCTCGCAGTTAAGATCTCCACAGATCAAGCCAGGGAGATGTTGAACTATTGAGATTGCTGAGGACAGTTGATTAATTATTGATCTAATTTGGTAGAAGACAGTAGGAGTGGGAAGGTAGATCGAGGCTATAAATATTCTTTGATTGTTAATGGAGAGAGTAATGAGTGTAAAGTGATCTGTTTGTCTAATTAATTTTGGATTAGTATTTCTATTAACAACAATCGCAGTGTAACCTCTTTCAAAGATGCTACAGTGGTCAGTCGTTATCTTAATATTGTTTAGTATAGGAGCATTAAACTCCTGTAGAGTTAGAACTGTTTCATATTTTAGGCTTGTTAGGTCAAATATCTTTGTTGTTTTTAGCTGAGATTTCTGGCAGTTTAAATTTAGTAATTTAAACATTAAACTGAGTATTACGTCTTTCTTTGTTAATTAGCTTAGATAGCAAAGGACAGTTCTTAGAGAAGGTTGAGTGTTCATGAGGTTGTTCATTTTTCTGGCACATGGCACACCCTGATTTGTCTTGGACAGTAAATGTTGGTTGATCACATTTACCTTTTTTATGTCCCGTAGACCAACAGTTTGTACAAACTGAGTACATATAGTGAATCTTGTATTTGGCAGCTTCGCCGTTGAAGTACAAGATTTTCCTCTCTGATATTTTATTAAGTATAACTGGAGATAATCTGAAGATCATCCTGCATAATGAAATTCCTCTTCTCGATTTGAACTCTTTTTGATGTATCAATTTGATATTATCCTCAAGTTCTAGATTATTTCTGGCTCTAAAACTAGCTTCATCCTCAACTGAATCTTTTCTAACTATTACCCTGATCATTGGATCTTTTTTCCTCTCTTCTTCAAGGTCAGCTCTATTTCCCAGAGAAGAATGAATTGAATTTACCTTGACACTAAAGTTGTCTTGAATTGAGGTGACTTTGATGGATTTACCAGCTTTGACGACATCCTGTATTTGTAGTTTCTTGTCATGATTTATAACTTTGACTACTTCAGCAGCAACTTCGTCAATGGTTTGTCCATCCTTTGGTTTGAAATAAACACTTGCCTTCTTTGGTTTTTGCTTCGCAACTTGAGCATACGAAGGTTTGTTGATGATATTTTCTTGTTTCATTTCTTGAACTTGATTTTTCACTTCTCCAAGCTCTTTATGAATTGATTTGAGAACCACATTAATGTTATTGACATCAGTTTCCTTGTTCGTTACCTCATTGATAGCTGTAGCAAATAGCTCCTTAATTATTGGAAAGTTATACTCCATCCTCTTTTTGTCAGACACTTTCATATAAGAGGCCATTTGATCGAATATAGCGTTGAATGAATTAATAACGAAGGTTGAGTCCACAACAACATTGTTCTTGAGACAACCCAGCATGTCCTTGCTCAGGTGTTTGGAGGTAAATATATTCTCAGGTTTTATTGCCTGTTTTTCAATATCGATGAGATCCATTCTTATATTGTTAGATCCAGCGCGTGAATCTTAACAACTTGAACACTGATTTAAGAAATTAAACTAATTGAAAGGCACAATAAATTAATTAATTAATTACTTAAAAAGAAGGTGACATTCAACATTCTCTTCCTCTCTTTCTTTATTTTGTATAGTTGCGCAAACTCATCATCTTCTCATCTTCTTTCCGGTAGACAGGCGAAAGAAAGAGGAAAAGGAGAGAGAGAGAGGGAGAAAGGAAGCAAGGAAGAGGAGAAGAAAAGAGAAATGGAAAATATTCGCCATTATTTTACTCGAGACTCATGAGATTGTCCAACCGATGGATTTTCAAATTTTGTTTGTACTATCTTATATTAACCTTATATCAAGTTGTTTTCCTTTCCTGAATTGATAACATGGTTTGGTTTATCTTTTCATCGTTTTTTATTTTCTGTTTACTACATTCTGCCAACAGTGATGGCCGCTGTCCATCGACCTGTGAGTGTGTCTGGAAAAGTGGAAAGATTACAGCTCAATGTGTTGGTGCCAATTTGATGGTTGTACCTTCGGGTGCGTCTAAAAACCTTCAAGTTTTGGATCTTTCAAAAAATAACTTTCAAACTTTGCCTTCCAAAGTTTTCCAAGAAAGAGGATTAATCAATTTACAGAAAATTTTCCTCTCTGAATGTAAACTTGGACGTTTATCACCAGACACATTTTTTCAACTCAACAACTTGGTTGAACTCGATTTAAGTGTAAATTTATTAACTAGTGTTCCTTCGGAATCTCTTAGCTATGTTACTCGACTTCGTCGACTCAATCTACATAAAAATCCTATCCGTACAATTGGAAAGGATAGTTTCTCTGAGCTTACCAATCTTGGTATACTGGATTTGAGTGATTGTGAAATTGAGAGCGTTGAAAAAGGGGCCTTCAATGCTCTTAAAGCCTTGGATCACATTAAACTGGACGGCAACAGGCTGTCAACTCTACCAGATGACGTTTTTAATGACCTACCAATAACCAATATCGGTTTACACAGAAACCCATGGAAATGTGATTGTGAAGTTAGACCAATTTTAGAGTACTTGAATAAATTTAAAATTACACCCAGTGTGCCGCCAACATGTGCAAGTCCGTCCAAATTAGCTGGTTTAATGTGGAACTCCTTGGAACTTTCAGCTTATGCTTGCCCTCCGATAATCAAAGTTAGTGAGACTCAACAGCAAGCGAGATTAGCTTCAAATGTATCATTTGAATGTATTGTCAGCGCTAATCCATCCGCCAGAATTAACTGGTCTGCTGGTGAACTCGGCGTCAACAGTTCTATTACAATCACTGAAGGTGATAAATTTTCTATTAATGAGGAAATGAGAGTAGCTGATTCAATTTCATCAACTTTGACCATTCATAAAATTGATAATGAAGATGCTAGACGTTATTATGTTTGTATTGCATCGAATGAAGCAGAAACTGTTTCTCAAAACTTTACCATCACTCTGATCAACTCAGATTTTACTCCTCAATGGTCTAAAATTGAAGTGATTACTGGTGTTGTTATTTCAATTTTAGCTTTGATTGTGGTTTTAGTTCTTGGTATTCTAGTCAAAATTAGGACTAGCAAGGATACTTCCACACCAAATAATACTGTTAACACAGATGATAACTCTGTAATTATGCAAAATAACAAACTTGAAAAGAATTGTGTTGTCCAAACACCAGTCATTGACTATCTGCCGAAGGAGAGTTATCAAGCTAATGATGGAACCAATGGAGCAGTCATAATGATAACTGACTTCCCACCGACTCAACTTTATTATAATTATGAAAATTGTAATATTTTTCAACCTCATCGTATGCTACATGAAACCGATGAAGGATATTTTGAAAATAATTTTGTACCATTCATTTCCAACGAAACACTGTTGTGAAAACATTTTTTTCGAAAATTCCCTATTTTTAACTTATAAATGACTTGTATAAAAAATTATCATTGCAAATACACATTGTAATTAGACATCAAATTGAATGTTAATATTTTTATAAATTACTTTGATCATCAACTCTTGCGTATTTTCATTTCATTTTCATCATCAACTCTTAAATCGGAATCAAAAGGAGAGTGACATATCCTTCGTAAAATTGTTATTTGTTATGATTTGGAGGAAATTAATCAATGGCATTCAATAGGAGACACCGAGACAAAATTCATCAAAGGCTTATTTTTCCAGACTGAACTTCAGGGCAGAAAATGAACTTGAAATTTGAATACAACTGAATCTAGCTATTCGGAGCTCATTCCAGACTTTGTTAAGATTAAAGAGTTAGATTTCAGTGTATTCACTGGTTTGCAAACCAAAAGCGTTTTCAGCAATTCTTAATTGGGCAGACTTGAAATCGATTTACCTTTTTACGTTATTTAGGAATTCTTTTCAAAGCTAAAAACTTGCGAATTTCAATTTCATATAATTTTCAATTTGAATGCTTTATCCAGACCTTAGACTCGAAATTTCCTAAAGATTTTTGCATATTTATTCTTATCATTTTATCTTGACCAAATATGTTGAAATTGTCATTGAAATTTTCCTTGCGGAAACGGACTGAAGCACTGATCTTGAAATATTGTGTAAATTAATTACTGTTAGTAAATAAAAACAAATTTTGTAAATCCAACAAAATGTAAGTCGATGCTGAGTCAATTCAGGAATCATTAAAAGATTAAGCTTTCAAAACAAACAAAATAAGCTATCCAAACATCATATCAGTGTACATATTTTAATCTCGTAATTTATATGAATCATCATAATGATAAGTTTTAATCTAATCTTATTAACTCAAATAAATAACTTTTAGTTTAAATATAATATTCTATTCGATAGTATCGAGAGTTTTCTATTGGCTAAACTCGAATTGAATCTAATAGATGGCAGTGGTGCTCGGGTCAGTCATTTGTTTTGAGTTAGTTTCGCGCTCAAATCATTTTTTCATCATCCAAACAAAGTCTCTGCTTTCATTTTAGTGTCCAATTTTTTTATCAATTTTCTCTTATTTGTTACAAATTATTTGTTTTAAAATGACTAAAACACCAACGCGTACTTCGCCTTACCCGAAGAGAACACCTTTAAAAGTATTTCCAATATTCAATTTTAAAAATGACCCTGAATTTCGAAAGACAGCGAAAAGTCCGAAAAGTGAAACCAAAAAAGTGAGGAAACCCAAATTGGAGAAAACCCCTAGAACTCCTAAAACTCCTAAAAATAAATCACGAGATGACCAGTATGTTATTGATGCCGGTCAAAAGGATTTTGATGCTTCACAGTGCAAAACTTGCAATATGCTCTACACCAAAGGCGCCATTGAAGATGAGGAACACCATTCGAGATTCCATGAGAATTTTGTCAACTCAATCAGATACAGAGCATGGAAAACTGAAAATACTTGGAAACAATTTGATGATGAATCTAAAATAGTCGTGATTAGGCCGGATGATCCTAAATTCATGTTGAAAAAGGTTGATGAGATGTTCACCATTGCCGATCAAGAATTAGGGATAAACGTGAGTCTTTTTGACTGTCTCAAGCCAGATATGGTTTTTTTATTATATGTTTCAAATGGACGGATATGTGGATTCGTTGTGGGGGAACCAATCAAAGAAGCCAATATGTATTGTCCAGACACAGGGATGGTGAACATTATTGACTCATTTCCATGTGACATTGGCGTTCCGCGAATATGGATCCATTTTAGTTATCGCCGCAAAGGTATTGGAACAAAATTATTGGATGCTCTTCGAGCTATTTTTGGTAAAGAAAATGCAATCGATAAATTAAAGATTGCTTTTACTGACCCAACGGAAGAAGGGTTAGCTTTTATCAGTACATATACCGGGAGAAGAAATATTCTTGTTTACACACTGTAATTAAACAAAAAGATTGAATGTTATTAAAGATGGAAGAAATTTATTCTCTTATGCACAAAAAACTATAAATAACTTTGTTTCACTTCCTCTTCAATGCTTTCATCTTTAAAATCGGGTTTACAGTCAAATTTGTTCAACAAAAAATCAAAATAAACAAATTCTGGTACAGGGAAATAGTTATAGTATTGTCGATGATTATCCAATGGATGCCATCTAAGGTATAAAGGTCTCCATAATTTAAGCAAAAATAGATCACTATCAATTCTCATGTTGCTTAAAAAAGTATCAATTTTCTTATCTGGATTAGAGGCAAAGTATAATGGGTTGTAAATGAACATTAATTGATTGATGCTCAATAATTCAATTTTCTCAGGAATGGTCTGGGATTGAACTGATAAGACGCTAACATTTGATGGATTGCGTGAATGATAAGCAGATTTAGTAGACGGTGTATTGTGTCCAGTTTGATGAACTGAATTTTGTGTTACTGGCTTGCTGGGTGCCACGGCAATTGAAGAGATGATTGAGGTTGACCACGCATTTGAAACTGGTTTACCAGTTGGTTGAAAATTATCAACTTCGAGTGTAAGTGGTTCATCTTTCCGTACTGGAATTGTTTGCAGATCATATAAACGAATTAAATAAAGTGATGAAAACTCAAAATGATATGGATTTTGACATATTAATTGCCACACAGCATCAAGAAACAATGTAAATAAAACAATATCAGGAGATCGAACAATTGAATTGTGAACCATTCCATTGAGAAACAGGAACTCTTTACTGATTAAACTTTCAAAACCAGAAATTGATCGACGCTTCTCATCTATAAAAAGAAAAGAAAAAAATATTTAAGTAATCGAAAATTGCATGTAAATAAAGTAAGGTAAACATTGATTTTGATATTGATGTAAATACCTAATACTATTTGAAGTAGCGCTGAGAGGATAGGATTGTAATGGTCATCATTTTCTTCAATAATTAATAAAGATGATTCTTCTGCGAGAATTTGTGACATTTCTTTGACAACGGTAAGGACTCGCGCAACAATTTTAACCCATTTTCCAGTCTGTGATAAAAAATGTGGAAATTTATCTGCATAGTAGCAACAAGATTTCCTTAGATTATAATATGCTGATTCTAATTTGGTCAACGGAGGAAGCAAATTGCTAACTTCAACAATATTTAAAGGTCTAAAAGCACTGTAAAGTATATTTGTAACATCCATTTTAAATGATGAACAGCGAAGGAGTAAATTTTGTCGGGATTCCTTGATCCGAGATTTGTGACAATAGGTTATAACAGGAACACGATTTCCATTAAGATGAGGTGATAAACTATGGATCAATGTAATATCTGAAAGATAGTGACTCAAACTGATGAAAGAAACCGGCAAGGAAGGGCACATATTGTGATTCTCATTGCAGTGGGCAATTCGAAGGGATTCATTAAGTGACATCCAATATCCCTCGTGGCGATTCCAATCCTGAGGGAATTGATATGAGTATTGATTGGCTAATAGTGTCCACAATAAGGCACTTTCCGGCAAATTCCGTACATTGAAAGGACTTGCTGACACTACGGTTGAAGCCCTCAAGACAGTAATCAATTGTTCCAATTTGTCAACCAAATTTTTGACTAGATCGTTATTCTTCATTTGGAACTCAATACTTCGAAAATCATTACAAAATACTGTTAAATGGGTGTCCTGGCCCTCTTGTTCAATCCGAACTTGGTAAATATTCATCAGGTCAATATCCTGTTCATGTATTTCACGGTTCTCTTCAGATACTGGATGAATATCAAAGGGCGGTAAACGTAAGGAAGACAAGGTACCTTTACTTGATGGACCAGTACTACTGGTGCTGATCATGGTATTTGAATAAAAACCAGGATTCAGACTAATGTTGTTGGAAGATGAATCATTTAAGTCTGTTGTTTTAGATGTTATTGCTGGAAAATTAACATTGGTTGGTGGAAGTGAGGCAAATGAGGTTTCATTAAACGATTTCCTTCTTTCTAAGTCTAGCTGAATCTCATGATGATAATCAATAAATTTCAAACGACGATTACTAAGGAGAAGCTGTCCAATGGTTCCCTTGGAACGTTTAATTTGAAGATTATATCTTTTCACAGAGTCGACAGGTTTAGCTATAATTGCTTCATTAGCCCTGAAATCGGTCCAAACATTGAATGATGGAGATCTTGTAGGTCCCAATGAATTCAAGTCGATGCCGTCTTCATCGGAAGGTAAAGTAAAGGACGATTTCGTAGATGGAGATAGAGTTAGTCTACTTAAAGTGGCAGCTGATGATGAAATGAAATTTTTAGATCCTAGTCCTCCAGATCCACTTCCACTAGCATTACCAGCAGCACCTTGACTGTCAGGGTGATCTCTTTCGTCAAAAGATGATGCGAAACTTTGCTCGTCGAGATATCCCCTAAAAGTAGGTTGCGGAGCTTCTGGTAATTTTGGAGGATTTTTTGGAGGTTTAATTTTAACTATACTTTCTTCAACGGGCTCATCATCTTCCTCCTCTTTGAAGTGATTCACATATGATTTGAAAGTATGCCTAGGTTCACTATTAGAGTTATTCATAAGTGAATTTCTCAATGAGGCACGGCGAAGACGTTGCATTGCTAATTAGTAGGCTACAGGATGATTTGAAAGAAAACAAGTTTATCTTTGGTTTCCAATAGAAATTGTTGATGCTTCCTGGATGCAATAGTCACACTGTGATAGTTGAGTTTCTCTTCTGTCCTTGTATACTTCAAATGATGGGTGTTGCAGTAACAAGTTTACTTTTTTTCAATCGGAACCCAATTCTCCAGCCGAAAGTATCATAATTGTAATTGAAGGCCTAAGGATATTACCAATGTTGAAATGTACAGCATAAATAATAAACAATAAAAATCTGATATGGTTGAAAAAGTAAGAAAAAAACTGAATCCAGGAAAGAAGAGTGAGGTGACAGAAATGAAGAGAAAAGCAAAAAATGAGTAAACATTAGGTTCGGTAAGTAAGCATATTACAAGCAACACGTGATATTACAAGATCAGTTGATACAAGGATATTGGACTACTCACCAATTGTTAACAAATAATTGGGCTAAATAGATGAATAAAGGAAGGGGGACAAAAATGAATAAAAACAATGGGTAAAATAGGTAAAGATATTAAAGAAAACTATACCAACAATAAAAAAACAGGAGAAAAGCAAAATGATAGAAAGGAAAGGTGAGAAAGAAATTGGCCAAGTCTAAACAAATTGGTTCATATGGCGATGATTAAGATAGAGGTTCAAGGTATGGTGATGATTCTGATGATGTTGATGGTAATGGCAAAGATGCGTCTGTTGATAATGTTTTGAATTAAACATCGTCACTGTGAAATACATAGAAAAGTGAATGGAAGAGAAAAGGATTGAATTTTGATAGGAAGAAAACAAGAGGAGAAACAATTAATAACCGGTTTAAATATAACTACATTTATTTTAATTTTTATTATCAACAAGAAAGTAAACAAATATTAAACAACTACAAAAAAAATGAGGGCGTCAAGCAGAAAATTTGGTTAGTTAAAGTAGATTATCGTAGAGGCCGCTATCCTCGATTCTCTTTCTTTTTACCTTTCTTTTTCAACTAACTTGAGATAAAAATTAAGTTGCACTAATCAAAAGGCGGTAACATTTAATTTCATGATATCTAAAACACCGATGAAAATGATTACAATTGAATAATTTTGCTTCCTCTATATCGATTCAAATTATTGATAAACAATAAGTCATCAAGTTTGTATGTCTTTGTGAACCTTCAAATGATATTTCTCACTTTTTTGTGCAATTCTTGCGTTTTCATAGTTAATTATCTTTCACCAAGAACATTTTTAATAAAATTAGTCATACTTAGGATATTTTGAGTAGGTGAGATAATGAGCTTTTTCAAGGTCTAAGAATAAGATGTTTTAAATAGTTACATCAATAAAAATTGGATAATCAAAACTTAAGATAAGGAAAATAGTCTTTAGAAATTAAATTGATGGATTGTTTACCTTTTCATGGAGATTCATTGATAGATTTGGGACCAAAATTTTCATTAGTTATAACATGGAGAAAATATAGTTGGAGATTTTTTTTATGAAACCAAAGATACCAGATCTTTTTTTATTAATGCATGTTCGGTGAAAATGATTTACACAAATAAATGTTGGTATAAATTGGCAGAAAAAAATGATTCTATATCTCAATCAGTGCTTAATTGGGCTCCTTACTCTAAGAAAATGATTAAATTATTGGAGGTCATAGAGTTGATGAAGGTGCTTAGATTGGTCCTGAAAATGGTGGGAGGTAAATGTCAAAAGTATATCAACTAGCATTAATATATTGTTTTAAATCAAGTGTTGTAAAGTAAAAATTTGTTCAAAGGTGGGAAAAAAGCTGTAGTTGGAGTAGATAGTCATGATTGAGGGTAACCTAGAGTTTGGTTTCAAATGTCAAAATAATATGATGAATAATTTAACTAATGAAGAGGAAGGTATAGAAAGGTTTAGATGTTGTCGGTCAATGACTGATGAAGCGATTGTGAAGTTAAAATATTACCAATGCTAATCAGTTTTAGATGTATTTTCCTCTCCTGAATTACTTTCCTCTGATTTTTGACCTTTACCTTCATCTTTAGTCTCAGAGGCTGATTCCTTGGACTTTTCATCTTTGCTAGCAGCTTTACTTGACTTTTTGCCTCCAGTTGCAGCCTTTTTTCGTTTAATTGATCCCTTGGCTTTACCTCGACTTTTCTTGGTCTTTGTCTCTTCTTCTTCTTCTTCATCGTCATCTCCTTCACTGGAAACTGCCCTCTTTCTTTCACTTTTGGGTGCACTTTTTTCTTGAGCTGACTTTGGTCTTCCTCTACCACCTCGCTTGACTTTACCTTCATCATCTTCATTTTCAGCCTTTCTAGCTCCAAGAGCCTGTTCCTTCATTGCATTGACTGCAGCTGTGGCTGCTTTCCTCTGACTCGTTCGAGTTCGAGTTGGCTCTTGGACAGTTTTCTCTGCCTTTTCATTAGCTACGTCATTAGCTTGTTTTTGAGTCTAAAATAAAGGAATACAAAGGAAAAATTAATGAAGACTGAATAAATTAAAAAGGAATAGAATGTATATAAGAAAATCAAGATAAAATAGATGAAAAGCGCGATACAAAAAAAACATGGAAGATAGCGGAAAGGCAGTGAGATGGGAAAATGAGCAATAAAAGAGGGAAAAGGCATATTCAACATAGCAAGCAAATGTCAAATTATCTCGATCATTTAAACAATAATAATAAATAATTATTTAATTTAAATTAAATTAAACTTACATCATCTCCTTTTGTAGAATTGGTTAAAGCCATAATTGAAGATTGAAAAAAAATTTATTTGAATTATAACAATTAAGGAAGGAAAAAAGAGAATAATGAATTCACTAGCAAAATGGCCAAAAAAAGATGAGGGAAGATTCACAACAAGAACGCGGTTAAGATTCTTCGCTGCTCAAGATCGATTTAGTATTTCAAATGTTCGATCTATCGAACTCTAACCGGAATCAATAATTTTTTCAATTTTATCCATTCAACTGATTATTTATTAATAATTAAATATCAGTTCAATCAAAATTTACCCATAAAATATTGTAACAATAATTCATTATTCATGGCTACATTCACATTAAATCAGAACTACTTTTGTTCAAACAATTTTTGCCCATAAGTTTACCATGCAACTGCAAAAGACTAATTAATAAATTGAAAATCTAATATTTTCACCAAAAAATCACCAAAAAAATTAAATTAAATTTCAAAATTCAACAATTTAATCAAATAAAGTCTCAAAATATTCCGCAAAACATTCATTTCACCCTTCACAATCTTTGCAAACTACTCTGCTTGAAGCAAAACTTTTTCAATGTCTAATGAACAAACTTAAATTTACCAAGAAATTTGCTATTCTTCAATCAATCTGATTCCTGCATAAATTCAGATTAAATATGTATAGATCTAAACAATTAATTAACATAAATTCTGATCATTTTTGGGTAAGGCAACAAGTGGAAGTGGGATATTCCGATGCGTCTTGGTTAGGCAATTTTTTATTAACTTGAACTTCCAATCATGCTCTTTTTGATGCTGTAATCATTGATTTCAGTCAATGCGTTCTGAGTTCTGAAAAATGTTAGTTTGAGATCTTATCCTTATGAGCTTACAAGCTACCAACACTCATGTGGGAATGGTTCATTTTGACACCCAGTATATATTGAAGTCAGCAATTAGCTTAACAATCAGAAGTGAATTAATTTATTGTCTTTAACCTTGGACTTGTTGAGTTTGAACAAAACGGACTAATTTATTGGCAGTTTCATTTTGCTCTGGATCTCGTTTTTTGCTAACATCATCTTTACTGCCTATTATTTTGATGACTAAGAGAAACACATTCAACAGTAGTTTAATCATTGAATGCGTTATATTCACTTGGATTCCTATTATATCTCTGATTTGTTTTTTGGTGAATCATGTTTACAAAATCTATTATCTTGTTCTTGTGGCTTGCTATAATTTATATTAACATGCATTAATGGAAAAAAATATTTACAAATTATAGTTTGTGCAAAGAACATTAAAGGTCAGTTGAAAACAATTTCAAACTGCCATTAAGTCTTGTATTGATTGGTAGAATCACAAATTACAATTGATTAATACAGCTACAAATGCTAATCTTGTGGGAATGATTGAAAAAGTTGGTTGTAAATATGAAACTAAAATAAGAAATGTAAATATACATGGTAATTGAGCTGAAATAATTTACAAAAAAATGCATTCCCGTCAAAGAAGAGAAATAAGCTGAATTTTGTTTCATCGCCATTTTTTATGCTTATCTGATAAATTGGAAACAATTTAAAGTAAAAAGACAAGTTTGATTGGCACATTAATGTGTTACAAAAAAATTAAATTAAGGGATCACAATCAGCCTTAGAGCTTAGGCATAATAATATACATATACATAGCTACATCATCATCTAAATAAGCATTGATGTATTTGATTTTTCGTTTGTTTTTAAATATTCTCGGTTATTTAATTGATTAAGTTTGATGGTTCCTTAAAATTATGGTATTTTGAGATCGCTGGTCACTGGCTTGGTAAATTCAGATATTAAGTATTGATTATCAGTTTTGAAGAGATTCATAATTAATTATACAATCTGTTGAATCTGCGTGACTGTTTAAAACGTTCCTGTTATCATCTCCAGTGGGTCCAGCTAATCCTCTGAGATTTTTATGAGAGCAAGCTTCTAATGGATTATTAAAATTTGTTTGGTCTTGTGAATTTGCATAAAGTGAGTCTTCATTAAAATAGTTTATCTCAAAATCACTGGAAGTTTCACAACCGTAAGCATCTCGATCGTTTATTACTGGACTAGGGACAGAAACAACCACGTAATTATTTTGATTAGTATCAGAATCGGATTGGTAATTATTTTCAAACCAACGGTCACACTCATTGAATACTCGTGAACTTGCTCGAGAAGATAAACTTGTATCATCAATATCTCCATCATTACCAGCATCATTTAGAAGCGAGTTAACCTCACTTAAAGCTCCTTCATTAGCCCTTGGTACCTTAATATTTTCAGGCTTATTTCTTGTAATTTTTTTATCTTCTATCTCATTCCTGTCCGCCTCATCATCAGCATCACTTGCTGCATCAGCATTATTAAGATGAGTATCATTTCTTGTCATCAGCTCGTCAAGTTGTCTTTCTTCATCTTCATCGACTCCTTCACTTTCAATATCACCAATGTAAACCCCATTATGTCTATTAGTTGATTGATGATCGTTTTCGTTTCCATCTTCGTCTTCACAATCCAACCCTGGTTCGTCATCAGGCTCAGGATTATCATCATCTATTTCTCCACTTTCATCATTACTATCATTTTCACCAGTCTCTTCTTCATCATCCTCATCAAAGTCATTAATTTGATGAGCATCAAGAGCAGATGTGAAATCCGAGTCTAAGTTTTCAATTTCTGATTCTTTAGTAGTCAAATTGGAAGTTCTTGAAGCTTCGTTATCATCTTCATTTCCAATTGTTCGATCACTCTTTGAATTTGAATTATCTTCTTCTGGATGTTGATTAACCATGAATCGATTAGCTAATGGTTTCCTTATTTTAGGACTTGAGTCAAGATTGATTAACTCACTCTTATAAGAGCTAGTTGAAGTTTCGTTGGATTCATCCTCTAAGGAAGGTCTTTTGACAATTGTTGGTTCCGAAGTCGTTAATTTGGATTCAATGGGAGATAAATCAAAATTTTCATTATTGGTATCGACAAAATAATGCAATTTATCTCCGGGAATAAAGCGAGTTAAGTGTTCAAACAGATCTGGCTGAACCATATTACTGACTATTTGAGAATGTCCAGCAGGTTGATCTGCTCCACCATCAGCACCAATAGTTGAATTAAAATCTTCGTCCATCAGTGGATGCGAATCTCGGTCATTGATTCGAGATCTACTAGAACTTGGTTCTTCAAAATAATCAAATGACTGAATTTTACGGCCAGGTATGGCAACACTGTTATTGACAGGATTATTACATGATTTATTGCTCTTGTAGTCAGGGAGAGAACCCTTTCTAGATTTGGATGAGTTTTTCAATAGATAATTAAGGCTTCCCGAGGAGAGCTTGGATGTTGGATTAGGTTTAGCATAACCAGTATCATTATTAAATCCATATTCATCAGATTCTAAGTCATTCTCTTCATTATCTGAATCAGTGGCCGTATCATTGTGACTAGGATCATTACTAGAAAACCTTTTGCCGAGTAGAGGAGCTAATCCTTCTTTCTCTTCCTTCCAAGCATTTGATCCTCCTCCTGGCCTTCGATTCTCTGACCTTTTGTTTGCTTTAGATCGACGTCGACCACTATTAGTATTGGATTCTTTGGAAGCTCTTGATCCAGCTGAAGGACCAGTGAAATCATGCTTGGAATTAGAATGATGATGATTATGTGGATGATGGTAATGGTGATGATGGTGAGGATGATGATGACGAGAGTGATTTGAAATTAAGTAAGATGATTCAGTCTGTGAGGAAGAATCCATTTTAGGTTTTATACAAGCAAGTCCATGACTTGAGGTTGATTCGTTATCAACAGAATACGAGGAATGGTCTTGTTTCATTCTAACTTTTCCATCTCCATAATCGTCTCCTTTCCCGTGGTTAGTATTTACCTGTTGACTAACATCATCGGGATAAACCCATTTGAGGTTACTAGAGTCACCGGAAAGTCGATTAGTTAAAGGCGTTGGGCTTTCTTCATCACTAAAATTAGTACATTGCTCCGAATCAGGATGATCTTGTATATTAAATAAACTTGATGAAGGTGAAAGTGAGGTTTGAGATGAAGATGAGGAAGATGAAATTTGATAAAATGAGGATCCATCACCTGAAGATGGACGTCCAATAGGTTGATGAGATGGGTCACAGTGAGGCATATTAATTATTGTTACATCGGGCTTTTGACTATGTAAACGATTAGCTTCAATCTTAGAGTGGTTTCTAAATGAAGAGCTGTGCGATGGATTAAGTAAATTCATTTCGCTGAGAGCAAATGCATCTCCATAAGTTTGATTATGAATACAGTTAGGTTTTTGAGTTGAATTAGATTCATTAACAGAATCAGTCTGAGAAAAATTAGATGGCCTAACATCATTATGCCAATGATGTGGACGATTTTTGAGCAAAGGAGATGAAGCTTCAGACGAAACCAAATCACTTTTAGGAGATTCTTCAATGGTAGGAGGGAGATTGGGCAGAGGTCGTTTGAAAAGGCTAAGGTTAGCCTTTGATCGAGCAATCAGCTCTTGATTAATGTTTGACATAGCATAAAATTGAGGTGAATCGTCATCTTCCATAGAAGTTGAAGCTCCTTGTTGTTGTTGTTTATTTCTTGTACTGTTATTGCTATTATCAAATGAGTATTTCCCTGGATTATTAACAATTTTCATTTGAGTATTATTGTCCATTTCAATATTATCCGATGATGATGTCCTGTGTGGCCTTGGGCCACTTGATTGATTGTATGCATCAAGAGTTTGCCTAGAAGTCTTAACGGCTCTTGACATGGAACCACTTTGATTGTCTCGTCCAGAATTACTATTGTTATTGTTATTATTGTTATTGCCATTTCCATTTTCATTAAAATCGGACGCTGGTGGAATAGCTCTTCCACTATAACCAAATCTCTGTCGATCCAAAAGGAAATAAGTGGTCATTTCACCTTTTCCTTTTACATTTACGGTTCCTCTACATTGAAATGTATACGGATAATCTCTAAGTAAACGGTATACATCTTCTGTACATTGAGTATGATTGGGTAAACTTGTTGAATCCATCCGACTGGCAACATTAACAGTGTTACCCCAAATATCATATTGAGGTTTTCTGGCCCCAATGACACCGGCCACAACAGGTCCAACATTTAGACCAACACGAAGCATAAAATTATTGTACGAATTTTCATTAATGTCTTTCAGTTTTTCCTTCATATCAAAAACAACGTCAACCAAGAGGCTCATATATTCAGCTGCAATAGCATCGTCTTTATCTGGTATTCGATGTTCAGGAATCAGGCCAACAGCGGCCATGTAAGTAGAACCAACGGTTTTAATTTTATCAATACTTCTGTAGGCATCTTTATTTAGTATCTGACGGGAAAAAAGATAAAAATAAATTAATAAATTTAGTTAACAGCTGTTGACAATAAAGAGACAAACCTCATCAAAATCAGCAATAATCTCATTGAGTAAACGAAGGCACTCGACTCCTTGATTATTACCATCCATTTCATCGTAAAATTCATGAAAATTTGGAATACTTGCAAACATTACTCCAATTTTATTATATGAATGGCTATAAAGCTCCTAAAGACAAAAGAGACATTAAGTAAACATCGAAAAAATACGACAATTCGATAACATACCATATTATTACGAAGTTGATTATCAAGGAAATGAGTGGCAACATGAGCTGGTAAAAGGTTGAATAAAATCCTTCTATTGCTATCCTGCAATTCATGCATTTCAATCTTTTCTTCATTAGCCTGTGGAGTAAATTTTTTTACAGATTACACAATTAAAATTGAATTAGTAAAATATATTCACTCTGAAAGATGAGATAATTACCTGAGCATTCCAAAGAAAATCAAGTCTTGATGTCCATTCAACTTGTCGTCCATGAATGAGTACAGCAACCGAAAAGATTACAATAACAACAATCCCAATAATATCCATCGGAATAATTGATCTGAATGAAAGCAAATCGACAAAATATTAGCATCTTTAGTAAACAATTGACTTAGGGTCGTCAAAAGGACTGCCGATCATGACTGATCTGAAATTTTTTACTGAGCCCAAAAAATTCATTCCACTCTTAAAAGACTTAAATTATAATGAACTAACCATCGTCAAAATGCGAAAAAATAAAATGTAAAATCTGGTTCTCAACTAAACAAAATACAATCTTGGTCATTTGGCCGCAAAATTTCCCTTAGAACCCTTTTCGTTTAGTCAAAATTTTAGCGAAAAAATTTTTAGCATTCGCTTTGAATTCTGTATTTAGATTGCTTGCTCTTAAATCAATAAAATGATTGTTGATGAAAAATAATTTCAACTCTGTATTGAACCAGCTTTTTTGTAACAGCTACAGTTTGTATTAAGTTTAGTGGGAAAGTGAATTTAGCTCATGCAGTTGATATGCTGTTTCAATAGCAATTTTGCTGGGTAAAAGACTATTCTTTCAATTTACAATTGAAAGTAATTTTATATTCCCTGATAATCTCAGCAATTATGAATAAGTAGGCAGAGATAATCATAGATTTGAATATAATTGATGTATCAAGAAGGTAATATTTGAAGATGAATAAGCAGCAAAAATAAATTGACTAACACAGAGAATATCTAAAGTTATTTTCATTAATGTTAATAAACTCATTGTGTATCATTTTGATGAACCTGCCGATAAGATCTCATGAAAAGTTAACTATTCAAATCATTTTCCCTTTGCTTGGTGTTGAAGTCAAGTTAATTAAATGATTTCAAGTTGAAGAGTTGCTTCAAAATATTATTTACAAGTTTATAAAAATGTATACAAAAGTCTATATTGAATATCACATTAAATTATATATCAACTCATCTTATTTCAATTTTCAAATTTGATAAGTTAAACTGTTAAGCTTTTTGGAATGAAAATCAGAAAAATTATGATAATATGGTGATTATGATGATGATGGTGGTGGAGATGAGAGTGATGATGAAAAGATACTATGACATATCAAGTAGACAAGAAAGCCAATTGCAAGAGCATTTAATTTCCCAAGCTAATATTAGATTAAGGACTGTTTATGGGTTCATGTTGGCTCTTCATGAGTAAAATAGAGGATGGATAAAAGGATGAAGATGAAGATGATTAGGATGAAATATGGGTGAAAAGAGAGGAATAGAAAGAAGAGAATGAAATGGAAAATATTTTCTCTCTTCATTCCAAACTGATGAAACTAAATTTTCAAAGTCAAGCCGGCGGGTTTAAAGGTTTAAATATGAATGATGGTTTGAAATAAAGAGTTAACTCAATATAAATGATCAAGTTGCAAGTTGAATTGAAGAAGACATTTTTGGTGCATTTTGACGATTAAATTTCAAAGTTTGCCATATCATGGAAACTCACCCAACTCTTAAATCATAACAAGTAAATAATTGAGTGTGAGTTAACTCAATTACTAATAAGAAAACAGCAGCCATTGGAATAATCAAGGCTCCTTTGAGTAAAACTGGAAGTCTCAGGAACACAACCAAAGGTAGAAATGCAATAACACAGCTTAAAACAATGTACTGAGGAAGGGGACAGACTCGATGAGCTTGCATAAAAGGTTTCGGTATAAGAGTTGAATTTTCACAACGAGATTCCTCGAGACAGGAAAACTGAAAGAAAAGAAACAGAAAAAGTGTCAGATTAATGGATCAGTTTGTTCCTAAATAATACAATGTTTACATAATTTAATGCTTTCCTTTATTCAACTAATCAATCTTGAAACAATGAAACTGATCATTGAACATTAACAGTTTAGAAAGCATTTTTCACAGTTTTCAAGCTAAGAAATATTGAAATGTTTGATCCATTTTTCAATTTTCCTGGCCAATGATTAATTGTGTGTTTACTGTGTAATCAGCAATCTTGATTACTCAATATGTATCATGTAAACTTGATTCTGATACTCACCACATTGACTTGTGCAACAGCGTAAATTATCACAACGGTAAATATCATAATTCCTAGTCTCATTAGGAAATATTTTGTTATATCTTTTCGCATAAACTGTAAGAGTGAAAAATAATCAATAAGTGTGATCATCAGTTTAATAATGTAATAATCAATCAAATGTTTAAACAATCAATTTACCTGTAAACGTGCAGCCAACATCATTATCAATAAAGTGGCAAGCCACATGAAAGCAGCAACAAACAGTACAACCAACATGAGCGTCCTGAAAGTGTTGAAAAAAGATACAAAATTAAATTTTGAGCTTCAATTTGTTTTACAACAAAAAAAGATGAAACATAATTAGTTACATGAATATATCCAGAGTAATGTGAGTTAAAATGTGTTAAAATTATGCATAAAAATGAGCCAGTTTTACACTCAACTTGTCAAAATTAATATTATTTACATGTTGAGGAAGATGTTGTTGCATTTGATAAATTGCTACCATTAATTACATTCATTTTAATTGTAATTTCCTTCAATTATTACATTTTTTCAACTTTGACTTTGACAATATTTTTTAGGTTATTAGGTATTGGTATTTTAAAGGGTGTGTAAAGCAATCAATCAACTTCAAATTGACCCATTGTTGTGATGATAATGTTTTTTTGCCTTTCAATATTACATGGTTATTTGGTAGGTAAGTTCATGAGGTTACCATGGGTTTATCAGAAAAAATCAGTAAAAGGTTCAAGACGTGCTTAGGACCAAAATGAGGATTCAATTTGAGTCTATTTGATGATGACAATAAATTGTTAGCTATTTAGTATTTACTTGGACGATGAGGGAAAAAATAGCAAAATGAGATGTTCAATAAAGTTCTTGATTCGTGACATGGAATCTTTGATAAACTTCTATTGAAACATTTTCACTTGAACCATCTTTCATGTTTTATCTGATTGGAGAAGCAACAAAAAAATGATGATCAAGATAGTTAAGGTCTTTTTTATAAGCTATTTACTGAATCAATTGGTCCAAAATGAATGTGAATCTAATCGATTTGGGTGAAGAGAAAAGCTAAATCTTGAGAATGGTTGAAACAAAAAGTTGAAATTCTGTAAATAAATTGTTCTTTCAAAATGGCCTGATATTCACAATTGACAGTGAATTATTCAAGCTCAAAATACATTTCAATTGTTACTTTATTTTCAAACCTTTTCGAGTTTCTTTTCAATCTTCTTTGAAAAAGCTTATTGAACATTTTTAGGTAAACAGCAAATCTGTAAACATGATGAACAGGTAATTCATGATAAACATTATCAACATTTGGGTAAAGATGCACTATTATTTGGTTAATTGTTCAGTTGAATAATCAGATATAAAGGAGACATTTTTGTAAGACCTTTTAATGTAAATGGTTACGTTTTAATGGAAATCCTTTAATCATTCACTTTGATTGTGCAAATTGATTCAAGTGATTATCCAAATTTCAAGTCTACCAGAATAATGGAATTAAAAATTGTACTTTTGTTGTAAAATTATCCAACTTTAAAATGATTAATTAATCTTACAAAGCATCTTTAAGCTCATTATGGAGACAAATATAAACATTAATCAACAAGCAAATATCCATTAACAGTAATGCTGTTAATTTAAATATTGTTAATAGTCGTAATCAAAAATACAATTACAATCCAATGGTAAATTAAACATTTTCAATGTCAAATGTGATTTACATTGAGATGGCAAAAGCATGGAAAGTCAGATTAAATTTAAAGATTCATTAACACCCATGACTTAAGTCAAAGGTTTTCAGAATAATCATCTTTGGGTTAAGAATGAAATAGTTTCAACATTTGTTCATAAAATCTCATGTGAGTTGTTCAACATTTACATGATGAAAATGAACTGAATAGATGAAAGATTAATGGGATTGAAAAAGAGATTCAAATAACTAATGTGAAAATGTGATTTAAAACATTTGCTTTACAATGATAATTTCAATTTAAGTTGCCTCATAATATTCAGGTTTTCCTGAGAGTAAAAAGCAAGTTTCAAGAGGGTCATCGCCTACGCAATACCATGGAAGGTCAGTTACTTTTGTTGACTAATTTTGTTGCACATGATGAAATGCTCATGATAGGCGATAACTTTCTTCAAACTTCATCTTGCCTTGATAATAATCAGGCCAACAATCCATCAAATCTTTGGGTTAATTTGTATTGAAATGAAACTCATTTTCCTCTTGGATTATCTTCAATTTTATCATCATTTTTTCAGAATTTTTTTCATCTCAAAATGATCGATCAGATTCATGTTTATATGCTAATCAACATGTAATGAGCACAAAGTCAATCTCTGTCAAATGTATATTCAAAAGTCACAAGAGATACATTTTATGGGAAAAATGTTGCAAAGATTTGTATCTGAATAGATCTTGAGTTATCATGGTTTTTCATTGATTTTTATTTTGACGAAGTTTCTGTTCAATTGGTTGATGGACAAGTTAATTACGCTTCAATTGAAAAATCATCAATTTCTATTGATATGACAATCAGCCTTTTTGACCAATTATTTTATCATTTAATCTGCTCAATTTGATGCTCAGTTCAGGATGAAATTGAAAAAGATGGTGAAACAAAAACAATTACTTTGTTTGAATCAACTGACCAATAGGCCAATCACTCAATAATACTGAGCCATATAATAACAGATGAATTGGGAGAGAAAAAGGTCAATTTGTATTAAATAATAACCCTTTTTGATAAATAAAACAAGTCAATAATCGTCTCAATAACACTTATCGAGACTTTAATATGCATTCAATGTTATTTTGTATTCAATATTATTAATCTAATAACGTTTTTGCGCCTGTTTTTTGCCCTTTTTTATGTGTCAATTACATGTTATCAAATCATTTTCATTGAATGGATCAACGAATAAGCAGAAACTCTGAATGATAAATGAACTGGATTCGCCTACAGAAAACAATAACCATTGGCTTGAGTAAAACATTCAAAATTATATTAAATTGAATTAACTTAATAGTGAACATTGTCAACATTCAATTGATCATGTCAACCTTTTTTACATGGGATGGGTTCATCAAAGGTAAAGGTATTACAATTGAAATCATCAAAATATAAATAAATGATATTCATGTGAAGCTGTACGCCTATCACCTTTGTTCAATTTTCAACATTTTTCATGTTAATCATTTGGTAGGCGAATTGCAGAGTCAAATAAATGTTCAATTTATTTTGATTAAATCAACTGATATCAATAAATAAATTCAGTTGACAAAAAGATGGACAATTTAATGTCACTTCGCGTTAGTAACAGGCAAACATTTTGATAACCGTTTGGAATTGAGTTTATCGTTTCAGACCAAATGTCATCGATAAACCAAAAAATTCGACCTTTCATGTTGACCATGAAATACATTCATGACAATAAGAATGGCAAAAATGTATTAATAGTCGACTGATGACAGACTAATCAACGCATTAATATGGATCAAGATTATATCAACAGACTGAGTTATTGATTAAATTCACTTCGATCATGATAATCGATCAATGGCTAGTCTTGATATAACTCTTCAAGCACTGAAAATTGAAATTTTTCGTATTCTTTTCCAGGTTCGAATCAATATCAAGTTTTTCATGTTTTTTGCTGAATATTAATAGCTGTTGTTAACCTTGTGATAGCAAATTGATATCGATGAAAGGATGAATTTTTGTGGCAAACTGACTGAATTTTGAGAGCTTCAGTGTTGAAGTATTGTTAGTTGATTGTTTCTTGTTATCTTGTTTACTGAAATCAGGAAACATAAATAGTTCAGAAATTATTGAGAAAATATTCAATCATTTTTAACAAGCAGGAAAAAAGTAACGTCAAGTAACGAATCAAATAACGTTGAACGAAAGCCAAGATCGTTAAGAAAAGTTGGCTCATTTATATTGAAATGTAATTGAAAGTTGAATATTGAGGAAAAATTGAAAAGTGATTGTTATTGAAATGAAAGGAACGTTTAAGACAATTCATTTCATGAACATTGTCCAGTGAAAACATTTAAAGAGTTGAAAGTTGACTCAAAAGTCAACCATTGACTCATCAAGTCGATCGATTAACTTGATTTCAGTCTTTCTTTTGCCCGTTTCTTGCATGATCAGATACAGGCAACTCAGTTTTCAAATCAACGAATAATCAATCTTTATCAAAGAAACAGAAAGTAAAGAGTTTTTTCTTCCTCCAACTTATTCAATTCAATCACAGGTTTCAAGTCAACTTTGTATTTCTATGAATTTAACCATGGATAAAAGATTGAGAAGTTTGTAAGAAAAGGTAAAAAATGAAAACTAAACATTGAATTTAAAAATTGAACTGAAAATAAAAACAATCAAATGCATTTCAATAAACTTCAATTGGTAAAAATCTCGATGATTATTGAAGGGATTCAAAAAATAACATTTTACCAGAGCAAAAATATTGTTATCTTGTTGAAACAATTAGATTTAATGACATGAAAATAACTGTTTTCATATAAGGAAGGTAAAGGAATCACAAGATGAATGCACTTTCATTTAAGCATCATTTCAAGTTTAAAAATAATGCAAAACAACTCAATGATTCATGCGATTTAAGCTGAATCAATTAAAATCTGAATCTTTAATTTGTTTGCTTGGCTAAAGCAATCGACTTGAATCATCATTGTCTTTGCAATTGTCAATGATGATCAAGAATAGATTGAAATTGAACCTCTGAATGTGAATTTTTCAATTTAATGAGTTTAGTGTCATTCAGGTTGATCCAAGTAAAGACTTTACTCTTTGGTTAATCACTGAAACTATCTATTGATTCACAATTAGAGATTATTCTTATTGTTGAATGCAAATGTAACAATTTAAACATTTTTCTTGACAATAATTACTTTTTTGCTAATCCTTTATAATATCTTTCAGATGATTAATTGATTTGGAATTGATTAACGTGTTGAATGGTTTGAATGATGTAAAGGTGAAAGGTAATGATCAGTTCAGTTTGCTGAGGTTTGAAGTTATATTTGGCAAGCAAATGTTTAAATTGTCAGATAATGGTTATAAAACATGTTTAATATGCAAGGTTATCTGAAAGACTTGAAAAATTGAAGGATTGGAATAATTGACAGATAGTTGGATGATTTTGGTGAGACTTTAGTTTACAAGGTTTTTTCACCATCAAACAAATTCATTGGCTGATAATTATTCTGGTAAGATTATAATGAATTGCTTTGAGAAAGGT